TATAATTTTAATTTTTTGCATTTTTTTTCTACTAAATGAAACTATTTTTTTACATTTGTTTAAAATTTATAATTATAACATTTTATTTAGTAAATAAAATTCATTAAATTTTGTAATTCAATAAATTCATTTTGTTTGTTATTTTGAAATTATAGCTATTAAAATTTTATACCTTATGAGCAACGCTTTAAAATTATAGATAGATTGTAAAACCATTGTCACAGGATCTGGGATCTCGTCTAAACCCTTATATTTGAAATAATCTTTTGGCATGAAATATTAAATTCTAATTTTGAAATCTGGTTTTTAATGTTGACTTAGATATCAACGTAGATACACTGTCGCTCAGAGAGCACCCGACTGTGGCAGCGAAAATCAAAAAATATAATATTATAATAAGGCACATATTATGATAGTGGCCGTTTGGGTGCGAGTGTGAGAACGCAGCGCGAGCTAACGCGACTCATTTTATGCTTCTGACGGTAATAAAAATTGGAGTCTCTGCTGTGTGTGTGAAAAGAGATAAAAACAGAAGAAGTGCCGGAGATGTTCTTCTCCGTCTGCGAGTGCGTGCGTAAAATAAATAGAAAAGCAAAGGAGTACTGCACCCGGCCGCGAAGAGAGAGAGGAAAATTTTTGTAGACAAGGAATTCGCTGAGCAAAGAATGCTGACGTTTATTTTAATATATGGCGCGAGAGTTTTGCGCGCGTTATCGTATTTGCAGCGCAAATAAAATGAATTGCCAAATTAGTGTCAAACCGTACGCGCGCATTTGCGAGCGCTGAATAACGAGCCGTTTTACGACTGTTCGTACACCTACCTTTTCGCAACAGGTCCGCCAGCAGTCCTGGCATTTACATATATTTGCAACAGTTGAATCGGCGGTGGCCGTTTAGGAAATACAAAAATATTCGACTGTGGTGTGTTTCGAGTGGACCCTCGTGTGGGACAAATTGAAAGAAGAGTTCCCACACGTGCAATCAATTGAATTAATTATTTATTTTTATTAGAAGTGGCTTCATTAAACTTGATAAAAAATATTTTTGATACCAGAGAGGTTAACATGATTTCCAATTCTATTAGGCACGATCTTTTACTTGAGGAGGTCAAGGACTCATTTTTATTTGAAAAATTTTAAGGTCAACTTGCCCTTTCAGAATATTTATATATAAGATATTAAAATTTAAGATTTGTGCATTTTCTTGTCTCAAACCATTAAAGTTGAAAATGAAGGAAATGAATTTATATAAATATATTCTAATTTTTAAATATAATGATAATGCATATGTATAAAAAATAAATTAAAATTATTATAAAATTATTTGTTAACTTCAAAAGAAATTTAAACCTTATAATAAAATTTAGTATAATATTTAATGCTTTATTTCATTAACTTGGAAATTTGTTTGAAAGAAAAATAACTTTGCAAGCATTTTATACGGCATTTGGTTGACGCCTGAATTTTTCCCTTTTGAGCTCAGCAACCGATAGGGCGACGATCGGAGGACGCTAATTTATGGGCGCACAACACCTCATTTGTGACCCCCTTGCTGTACCGTATACTGCCGTGTGCCGCTTTTACACAGAGTGTAAACAAAACACACTCTGATTGTAATTAGAGTCCAGAAGGCCGGGGTGTTTAAGAAGAAGGCGTGAGACGGCATCTTAATGCCTGCTCATTTCCCAGAAGCTCCGATCGTCGCAACTCGCACCCACTCTAATTAGCATTTAAGACGATCGGAGAGCAAAAAGCAGCAGCACCAGCCACTGGCGAAATATTTATTTCCAGCTCTCTCGTTCTATCTTGGGCAATCTAACGAGAGCAGGGGCTCGTTGAGTAATTGGCCTGTTCGAAGAGGTTCACGAGAGATGGTAACGAAAATTTTACATTTTAAGCCTCCGAGCGGCAAAAATGCAAATTTTCTCATTTTTGGTCGGTGTATTTCTCCAGGGAGACCCGATGAATGGGAAGAATGGAATTAAAAGAAAGCAATTTTTCTGCTTATTGACTCCGAATCGCTCGCGGCTCCAACTTTTCTTCGTTGGTTATTTCTTTTTTTCCACTTTTCTCCTTTGGCATACATATTTTTATACGCACTCAGGTGTACGCTTTTGCATTTTACATAATCTCTCTCTCAGGCGAATGCAATTTGAATGGAAAATAAAACACATTTTTCGCTTCTTTTTTTATTCTTTCTCCTGCATAGTGCGCATTGAAATGCCACCGTTGCTGCTCAAACCCTGCGTTACTTTTTGTTCTCGCAGATTGAATTTGACTGGTTAAAAGCCCGGCTGGCTTGGATGCGATGTTTGCAGAGGAAAAGCGGTAGCGAAACTGCCGGCAGGCATACGTGGGGCGAAAGAGCTGCTGCTTTTGCTCTCTCACTCCGCGGGAAATAGCATTGAGAGTAGAATGGCAAAAGCAGCGGATTGAAAGAGTGCATTCGGCTGCGCACCGGCAAAATGCCAATTTCTCCTGAAAATTATTTTTATCTCTCGCGTGCATTTTCGCTCCCAGCAGATTGAATATGAAAATATAATACACGCCTGGGAAACGAGAGTAAAGTGGAAAATGTCGTTTGTGCTCAGCTCGGAAAACAAACCAGAAAGGACGTGAAGGAATATGATTTTATCAAATAGGAAAAATCCGCAAATCCCTTGCAGAACAATAAAATTTTTGGTCATTAAGTTAGCTGCTTTTCACTTTTTCAGTAAAATTATTAATTAAACATTAGCAAATATCTGAATTATGCATATTTTGATCAGTAAACATAAATTCCTTTTAAAAGTCCCTTTCTTTACGCTTACTGCATAATAAAAATACACTTGCTACTGAATTTGAAGCAATTTTTGGGTATCCGTTTTGGCATTCCTTTAATAAAGTGTATAGCCGGCTCACTCTCAATTTAATACATAATCTTTCTCTCTTGCCTGGAAAAATAACCAGTTGGTTGGATGAGCAAATTTAAATATTTATCACATCAAGCTTTTTCTCAGCCGCTTCAAAAAGCAGGCAGAACACATTTTATTACATTTTTACATCAGGGTGACCCGAGGCCAATATGGGTTCTGCTCGCCGAGTCTGCAATTCAGCAGTCGGCGTAATTACCGATCGGAATCTGCACTTCTTCTTCTCGCATACACACACATGATGTGAATATGAAAAAAGTTGGTAGCCAACAAAGAGATCAATCGTTTTTGGCTCCGGGGAGCAGCAGGTGGATATTTGATGGTGCTGGTGTGCGAGTCGTGCTACCTGCTCGCTCTCGAATTGCGCCGCACAGCAGTCGGTCTGCTCTCGTCAGAGGCAGGCTTCGATCATTTCGTTGCGTTTGTGAGCTCATTTGCAAGGAGCACGGCGGCCATCTTGGAGAACGCTCACTTATTATGTATCATTGCATTTGCCGAGCCAGCGACAATACTGATCTGGCTGCCGGCGGTGCCGCTGTTCCATTTCTGCGCAGGTCGCGTTGGGCTCCTTTCGTCCAACCATTTTGTCATTTGCTCTGCTCGAGAAGTTTATCTCTGACTGCAAAGAGAGCATCATGATTGATGACATAATGAGGCCTTCAGAAGTGGAAAAATTTTTAATTAAAAATTGGAAGAAAAAATTGTTTAATTTGCACTTATTTAAAAAAAAAAAATAACGCAAAATTTTTATTTGTAGATCAACGATAAAGTAATGATGAAAAACAATTTTTATAATACAATTAATTTTTTTCCTTAATAATGAATTTTTTATGTTTGAGTTTGTTCATTGGAAAAGTTTTTTTCTCATTTTGAACAAATTTATTTTTCTGTTGACTGAACTGACCATTCCTTGTGAAAATATTGTACGGGGATGAAAGGCGATTGTTATCTCGGCGCAGAGTAATCGTAAAAAAGATCAATCCCATGCATCAACGAGTTCTCCTATACTCTGCTGTTTGTCCAAACACACAGACACAAACAAGTATAAATCGTCTTCGTAGTGTCATAAAAACAAGCTGTATGCTGGGCCAGAATCACACCATTTTTTGATTGCCCAGGCAGTAATTCGACCCGTATTATAAATTCACTCAAGTCAGCAACATATTATAATACGCGCAGACAATATAACATATTATTTTAATGCCCCGCGAGAGAGTTAGTTTATTGATGCGCCGTAAACGAACAATGAGAGACAAGAGCAGGGCCCCTTTTGCCGGAGATGAGAACGAGGAGGCGGATTTATTTCTCGGGCTGGAAATGTCCAAGGCCAGCGCTAATGCAGCTTAATAAAAATTCAAACAAACGCCGGAGACCCATAAAAATAATAACAATTCATTAGTGTGGATGAGAAAAGATCATTGATTGGCGATAAACCGGTACGCACCAGCAGACGCTGTTTTTAAAGTGTATGGTGTGTGGTGCTGGACGGACGGACCGTGGGCGGACGAAAAAGCAAAAAAGTCGAGCCAGTCATTCAAGTCACTCTCTTTCGCTGATAAACCTTTCAATACTCACAGATCACTTAGAATAAATCCACCCACTCGTGAGGCGAACGAGTGTGACCACCCAAGACGGCCTTCGTGTTCAATTTTACGCCCGGCCATTTGACAAAGAGAGCAATCACTCAGACGGAAGGAAAATAACTTTTCGGCCGGACTCGATCCCTCCTGCTGAGATCAGCCAGGGTGCGCTTTTACCTGCATCCATAGCGCCGGCGAGGCGAATGTTTCTTTTATTCTCGGGCGCCTTTTTCTGCTACTCCCGATTTGGGAGAAGGAAAATAATTGATGATGATTCTGATTGGTCTTGAAAATGAGCTTGTTTGGACCTTTCTGCTCCGCCAAGCCTGAGAAAAATCATTATTGTTGTTGTTGAGAGAGCAAAAAAATAAAAATCACAAAAATACTGTTCCTGTGTGGCAAATAAAATAATAAAATATTTATACTTTTTCCATTTGGCTAGTTTACTAAGTAATAAATATAATATTAAATATAAAAATTATTAAATTTTTGTTTCTGTATTTTTGCAGTTCTGTACCAAAAGCGGCTGAAGAAGGAACGCAAAGCTCGCAGGCGACTGCAGGACCAGCTGGAGCTGGAAATGAAACGGCGGTCGCAGTACGAAGATGCCCTCAAGAATTCAGCAGCAGGCGACGCCCTCCGGCTAATAAACGGTAAGACCGGCAAAACTAAAACTCACCCCTGCATGGACATTTATTTTCCTCCCTAGCCTATTTCTCTTTCTTGCAGTGGTAGACTGAGGAATTAATTCTTTTAAGAGTGAGCATGATTTTTATTTTTTACTTGTAGTCTGTTCTCACGATTCCCTTCTTAATAACCTCATCGCTGCCTATAATAAATTAAAGCATTAATTTTCTTTCTACCGGCTTGGGAAATACTAAATTTAATAAGCGCTGCTCTTTTAAAAATATTCCAGACTTTTGACTTATTATACAATTAGAACTTGGATTACAAAAATCGTTCTCTCTTATTTTGGGATAAATGTGTCTTTAATATTTTTCTATTAACCGAACAATTATTACACTTTTTTTAAATTTTCAATTAAAATTCCATTTATTGATAAATATTATTTGTGTGGGACAGAGGCGAACGAGCAGCAGAGCAGTGCGCGCGAAACGCAAAGGGAGTCGCCGCCCGCCGCCTCCGGTGCCACCTCTGCCCCCGGCGCGGCCCCCACGTCCTCGGCGCCGAGCAGGCATTGCGAGCCGCCGAGTGGCGTCGACAAACAGTGGAACTACCCGTCAGGCCTCGATCTCGTGGCCGGCGGTGCCGCCTTTTGGCAAAATTACTCAGGTAAGTCGCCTGAGCTAATTTCAAAATCCTTGTTCTTACTCAAATGCATTTCCGAGAGGAAACTTAATTAATCCGCCGAGATTCGCTCAAACGGGCATAATCCTTCTTTTGGGTTCGTCCTCTCGGGACACCCTCTCGTTTCACGCCCAAACGACTTGAGTGCATAATATACAGAACCCTCTGTACGCAAATCTCAAATTTTTATCAAATTTTCGATTCGGACTGCAGCAGTGGCGTCAAAATTGAAAACCGTCTTATCTGATCGATTAGAGGGTGGAAAGTATTTTTTTCACCCTCCTCTAGACATCTGCAGAAACGCGTATCATTATGTTGGAGCAGAAAAATGCGATTTTCATAATAAAATAGCCGCCGCAATGAAGCGTTCCTCCGCGCCGAGATTATGGCCCGAAAGTGATCTTTCTCTCGCTTATTCTTTCTTCGGTGGCGCGCGAGGGTGGAATACGATTATGATGATGCCAAGGGTGCGAGACCGCATTCTGCGCGCGATGCCCTCTCTCACCTCTCTATACGCACGCGAGTTTTTTTCTTTCGATATAGCTGAAGGGAAGCGCGCGCCATCAATATTGACGTGCCTTGTGTCACTCTCGCTTTCGCCAAATCCTTCCCATTCTCATGCAAATTAATCTTGGGCGTTTTAAAACGTCAAATCGGTGACATTTTGATCTGCGTTTCTCTGACCGTCTGCCGCGTCAAACGGGGATCAAACCGAATTTTAATTTTGCTGAAAGGATAAATTGCAAAAATCACTCTGCGAAAAAGTTAATCTCGGTACAGAACGAAATCTTTTTGCGCCGGCAGGGGCTTTGCCGCCACCGTGAATAGCAGATGCATATTAATTAAAATTTGAGTCCAAAGGTACACACAAAGTTTGAGAGAGCTCATACCATTATTTGCCGTTTCCCCGCATAAAAAGTTTTAGCTGAGCGGAGCTGTAATTGAAAAGCGGCCGGTCGAAACTTTTGCGTCCGTCCGTAGAGCAATATGTGAAATCATTGCTCTTTGCGGTGTGTTTGCTTCGCATGCAAATCAGCAAATGATCTGCTGAAAATTAACGTGCGCACACATGGGGAGAACAAAATTTTTATTCAAATTAGCTGAGTTGCGTTTATCTTGCTCGTAAAATAAAAATGTGTGGAAGTTTAAATTTCCTCTGTACCTCTATAAAGCATTTATTATTTTTAAATGAGTAAAAAAGTAAGACGTCAATTTTCAAAAGTCGCGATGCCAAAACTTGAGCTGTTATTTTCTCTGCGAGATCGATATACAACATCAAATCCAATCCTGCAAACTGTACATAAATATAAAATGAAACGTTCCAACAACGGCACGCATGAAATCATCGCAAATATTTTCACCCGCAGCGTCGGCCGTTCTCTACGTATATTTATATTTTGTTTTTCATAATGTATTCAAGAATGCCGCGATACGGCCACGGTGAAGAGTTTAAAAAAATACAAAATGCTTTTCATAACGAGCACCTGGGCGCGCATCATTTGAATATTGTCCTCAAGAAAAATATGATTTCCACGCTGGGAGAGAAATAAATCGACATCGACGGAACAAATCTTTTTCTCTGACGGAGAGTGTGTGTAATTTCGTAACATACACAAAAGTGCTGCCGGCCTCAGGAGCAGCTCCACTCAGTCAGTCCATCAATAATAATTATTCTGAATGCTGTATTGAGCTTCTTTTTTCCCAGCAGCACTGCTCTCTGCCTATATAGATCGAAATCACGGCTGTTTTTCTCATTTCTTAACGACCATAAACCACTCGATTGCCGCGCTTAATTTTATTTTTATGCAAATGCCGCCGAATACGGCAGCGGCCACACTGCTACTTTTATTACCAATAATGTATCCCCACAGCGTGCAGTTTTATCAGATAAATCATGCGCGCTAGAAACAGAAACCCTTCCTTCACGCCGTCAAAATTACTTTTCCTTGATTTTGTACGCACCCACAAAGAGCGGCGTCTCACTATAGTTTTATAAAGCAATCGAGACTGCCCATCAGAAACAATTTTTTTGCGCTTCCACCCAGCAATTATTAAATTTCTGCACATTTCGCGCTGATCCTTATTTTCCGTTACGTTACACACAAAAATTGCATGGTTTTAAATATAATATGCTTCCAGTAGTTTTGAAGTGATCTGATTGAGAGTTTTGAGTTTACCGCATAATCTAACCGATCATGTGTTTTTTTTCAATACACAACAAATTAATCAAAGCTCTTTTAGTCAAGCAGCTTCTAGTAAATTCCAGTAAAAAATTTATTTTTAATGTTTTAAAATTAAAATTGAATTACATAAATATATCTCTTGAAACATAAATTTAAAAAAAAAATTGTGAGTTGTAAACAATTGACCTCAGCATTTTGTCCTTACATGGATTATTATGGTGGAGCCTTTCAAAAGTCTCAAGGCGTAACTTTTTCGCCAGACTTATTATTAAATAATAAGCCACACTTTTAGGCAATTATTCTCGGTCATTTTATTGAATAATGAAATGCACGTCTGGATACAAAGTAGAAAAACTCGTTCTGCTGGCCTGACTGAAAAATTATAACGCAGGCGGAGAGGCAGGGAAATGTGCAGCACCGGCTGCTGCGAATGTGTTGCAGCGTAATTGGATTTTATATGCGCGCTCACCTACCAAATTAAACTTTATTGAAATCAGCACTTTTTCGGCGCCATCAACACACAGCAGCAAAAGTAATTTTGCCGGTTCTCTCGTTGTATATTAATATTACGATTTTTAAGAGAGCACTTCCTTATGCCCAAAGTACCAAACGAAATTGCCTCCTATTTTTCCCCTTCACATTTGAGTGGAGAATGGAATTTTATTCAATATTTTTAACTATAATTATCTTTATGAAGCAAAAGAAATGCTAAACTATTTTGACTATGAATATACACTTTCTCAAAACTTTTTAAATTTTTTATTTTATAAATTAAAAATTTCAATTCAAATATTGCGGCATTTTTTTTCCTTGCAATATGGGAATTTGTACATTATTTGATGTCGTTCTTTGACAAAAGTTATAACCTCCCCGAGAAACCCCTGAGCGGCGAAATTACTTTTGACAGAGTGGCGCGCCGACCGAGTGAGAGAATAAAAAGCGTGTTACGAAGAGGCCCGGAGCAGAGATACAGCAGCAGAGTGGAAAAAGTGCAGTAATCGTAATAAAGCTGACTCAGCCAGGCATGAAATTGAATAAACTCGACGAAAATGACGACGCCGAGTTTTGTTTGCGTGCGCCGCTTTTTCGCGTCTTCACCATTTAATAACACACACAAACAATTCCAAAGTCTCTCTCTTCTCTCGTTTGAAATGCAAAGTGGCTGGCGAGATTTTCCCCGATGCCCTTTCTCGCTGCGCGGCGTTCTCTGTCTCTCACTTTCCGGGCGGCGACAAACAAAACAAAATAATGGCCCCAGGCACGAAGAGGGTGCCGCAAAATTTAAACGCTCACTCTCCACGATCGTTACTTTGAGTGTTGATTAACACTTTCTAGTTAAGAGGATTCAAATTGAATGCGTGCGTGCAGAAAATTTAATGCCGTTTTCTCTCGCTTGTTGCAGAGAGTTTAGCCCAGGAGCTGGAGATGGAGCGCAAAAACCGCCAGCAGCAGAACGCCGCACAGCAGCAGGACAGAGACGTCAAGTCGCCTCTCCAAGGTAGGCAACCCGCCTCGCTTCGGCGCCCCCTGAACGTTTAATTAGTCCGCTCGAATGAAATGCAAATTACGAATATAAACGCCTTCGTCGATCGAAGTCTCAAGGTCGGAATCAACTGTGGCAATTACTCAGCCGTTTTACGACTCAATGTCGGAATTAAAGGCACACACAATCAACACGGAACTCGGGCATTTGCATAAAAAGCTCAAGCATATCATACGTGTCAGCGACTTTTCTCTTTGCAACGCACAATCGCATAAAACCGTGTGCTTTATTGAAGCTAAAGAATTCCCGCAATGCAAGTCTCGCGTGTTTGTGCAATGATCATTAGGAATTTTAAGCAGAATAGCGCTGTTGAGTCGTAAAATTTTATTTCTTATTTACCTCAACCCTTACAAGTGCTGGAGGATTAATAGCTGGAAAAATAAACTAAACCGCAAACAGAAACAACGATGAGGATGAGAACTTATGAAGGCGCCTATTAATTTGTGCATCAATATTATATCAATCGATTATTAATTTTTTTTTCTCCGTATGCTAAACACCATAAAATTGAAATTATTAAAAATGTTTCCTGATAATTTAATATTTCTTTTCTTTTGAATAATTAACAATTATCTTATTTCTTGAATTGATTTTTATTAAAAGATAAAATTTTCGGTTACCATCACATAAATGAGAAACAAAGCACACCAAACATTTACATTTAATAGGAGCTGCATTTTAAACTTGGTGTTCAGGGAGCTTTTATTTAGCTCTGCTCGTGAATGGACAGTAAGTCACGACACTGCACGTTCTGGAATTTTGTGATAAAGTGCTCGAGCAGCAAAACGCGGCGCTTACACTTTTCTCATTCCCACGAAAATGGACAAACAAAAAAGCAAAAAGCGCAAAAAGCATCATTAAGGGCGAGAAGAGAAAAGGTGTGAAAACAATCGCCGCTGCTGCCTCACTTTATCGCAGATCCTATCGCAAATTAATAAAATAAAAAAGCTGCGGCCGAGTGCTGGAGTCTGCGCGCACGGCGCGAATAAAATAAATTATGCGCGGCGAACACGCCGGGGTTAAATATTTCTCGGAAAAGGTGACACTGCGAGCGAATCTACAACTTGTCAACCAGCTATTGGTATGCGCAGGACAATAAATTACGGACGGCGGAGACGAGACCGGTGCTCACTCACGCTTTTAGAGGCGCACCAGCTTTTGTTTCCATTGTTCGCCTCATTCATGAGCTAATATAAAAACAATCGGCGATATCAAGATTTCGCCAGCACTTTAAATTCTTCATTCTTATGTGAGCAGGCGTTGCAAAGAAAAGAGAGATTACTTACCTTAAGGGAAATCAATATTTAAAACTTAAAACGCTTAAAAATCGAGATTTTTTTAATTATCATTTAAAAATAATTTTATTAATCAACCTTAAAAAAAATACTGTGTTTTTTTTTTACTTTTAACTTTTATCAATTATTATTTCTACCTTTTAGCAAGTTTCATTCTGCCGTTACCCTCCTGCAACAACTTTCATTACTTCATAGCTGGAAACGCACAATTGATAGCCGCCAGGAATATTGCAAGTAACGCTTGAGGCATTTTTTGCCGAGCAAAAGGGACGCTCCGAGTGCAGAGAGGCGAAGAAAGTAAAAAACTCTCTCTCTCACTCCCCAAGCAAAACACGCAGCAAACACAGAAAATAACATCTTTATCGGGCTGGGGTGGCTGCAGATTAGAATTCAATATTAAATTAGGAAGGACAATCTGCTGTCAAGACCTCAGAACGAATTTGAGAGTGAGTTTCTCGTCGGCGGCGTCATGATTGATGTAACAAAGATGGAGACTTCAGCGCCAGCAAATACCCAAGGCGACCCGGCCGCCGGCGGTGATTGATGAAGCATTGCACTCAAACGCACAATGTGCTCGCGTAATATCTCTGGCGTGCGAGCCGGTTGAGGCAGAGGCGCAAAAACATTCGATTTTATTAGGGGTGCATCGCTAATTACCTAGACCGAGTTCCAAGTCAGTTTTTTTGTGGTCCCGAGCAGTTGGTGCAAAAAGCATAGTTCCATAAAATACTTCTAAATCAAAATACAATTTTTTTTGTATTATATATAGATTTAGAGTTGATTGAAAAAAAAAATAAAATTCATAAATTTGAAAACCGAATTTGCAACAATTCAATATTTTAAATATTGCAGTTTATATTCGACTATAGTTTAATTCAAGGAGCAATACATGTCTTGTTTGGTCTTTTTGCACATTTCCGCGTTCTGCGAAAAGTATATAATCCAGATCAATTCTTATTTCTTTAAATAAACACTCCGTCACTAATGGGCCCGGCGTGTCCAGCAGGCTCGTGTGGTCGTAAATCCGTTTGCAACTAGCTCACGGTAGAAAGATAAATTCCATCGAGGTGGCCAATTACAAGTTGTAGAAGTAAAAACGCCTTAAATGCAAATGGCCTGCGATTACAATCGAATCAAATCATTAAAGAGCGTGCAATTAAACTTATCTGCTGTATTATTACACTCACATGTTATAAAACGTTCGAGTGTATCTCTACTTTTTTTCAGATTTTCTTTTTTTATTTTCACCTGTGCTACACGCAATTAATTAACTCTGGTCGATTTTGTTTGTTGCAGAGTCCCGTGCTGGCTACTACAAGAACTCGGTCCTCTTCTCCAGTGCAACCTAAGCGCGCCGCATGCAAATGAGCAGCACACACAACACGAGAGAAACACGCAGTAAAAATATATATGAATTTGAATTAAAAAGAAACAACCAGAGAGACACTCCAAGTGCGAATTCACGCTGCAATTATTACAGCAGGCGATCTCATTTGCATAAAAAATTCATCCAGCACACACCATCAAGAAAAAGAAAAATCATCGCCCTGAGTGCGCGCAACTTGGAATTTATGATGAAAATACACACAAACAGTTAATAAGGGCGCTCTCCGATGTAAAATATAGAAAAACGTTGGTATTGTAGGAAAATGAAGAAGCACACATGAATTTTATCGTATGGACACTAACTACTTGATGGCGGTTGTTGAAAATGTGGGATAAAAAAAGTCGAGTGAGAGTGGCATTTATTTATATTTATTGAATCGTCTCATGGGTTGTACTATACGCGCGATTTTCACCCCCTGAGATCTCACACAGTCGCAGTTTAATATCAAAGAGAAGTGTTGTTGATGACCAGTTCAAACCTCCCTCCTGTGGGCAAATGTGCCAAATCGTTGTGCATCCGAGCGGAACATCACATACGCAGTTAGCAAGTAATTGATGATAGCAGCAGTAATTATGTACTTGAAGTTGAGAGAGTTTCGAAATTTTCTATTGAAATTCTTCGCACTTCAGAAACAAATCCAAGACTGCAACACCTCTTGAAATAATTTCAGTAATCGAACAACGCCCTATAAACTTTCCCGCTCTCTTCGAATTTATTTTGTTTATTTTTCTTTAATTCATCACCACATATCAATTTTGAAAGATATAAAAAATCAACCCATTTTTGCCGCCGATCAAAATCGGTCTTTTGTAATTGATCGATTCGATCTCTTTTTGTGTGAAAGAATGCGCGAAAGGACGGTTTGTATAAAAAAATTATTCACTGCGACGATGATCGAATATGAAGAAAAACTTGTTTCTTTGTAAGTAAATGTTATAGGCTATTGGACAGAATTATGTAAAGCTAATTAGGGGAAGCGAAATTTTGTGGCCGCGGTGGTCACAGAATTGGATTCACTCGCGGCCGCAAAGGCCGCCGCTATTTCTACATGTTGAAGAATAGAGATCCAGTGCGAAAAGAGGAAACCGCAAAAGAGTTAAGAAAAAATGATTAATAAATTCACACACAGAGAGAAAAGTAGCTTAAGCTAGAATTATTAATTAAAAAAAAAATATTCAAGAGCTCGAGTGTAAATTATTATTGCTGTGAATATTATCTATTAATTCTTTATTTGTCAGGATAATGTTGTATAAAATCAATGACGCGACCCGATAAATCTTCCCAGTTTTAATTTCACCGAAATTTCCTATAAACGTAGCGGTGCTGTATTTGTCGCAAATCACTGTACATAAAATAGTTCAAATTTTACGAATCTCCTGCTAGTCTCGTCGAATCCTGCGACATCGGCGCCGCCTGAACGTTTTTACACGCACATGCTTATAAACCCCCTTTTAATTGTCTCAAGACTGTAAATTAATTTTTAATTTCTAAATATCACACAAAAACGATGATGGACGGTACAACAAACTTGTATAAAAAATCTTACCTCCAGCATTAATTTTTAGGGAAAAACGAATCGTGTATTTAAAAAGAAGCGGAAAATTTCAAACAATTTGATTATCATTATTTGTTCCTGATCGGTTTGTCGCCCAACAAAATGTAATAACGATGTGTATAATGGCCATTATTGTATTTATCCTCTAAGCAAATGGTTCATTGCAGTAGCGATGCAATGCGCCACCCCAAAACTTATTACTTCATTGATTATAAGAAGAGAGAAATCGCTTTGTTAAATTAATCGATAAAATGAAAAATTAATTAAAACTCACACAAGAAATGTCGATAGCGACCAATGAATTTAACCAATCGACCTGTCACTTTGAATGTGAACATTGAATTTGTAGTTGCTGAGAAAGAAAGAAAAAAAATCGAGATGAGGACGCATGTAAAATTATTGCATTATGATTCTACGCGCTCTATCGATTGTTTGTTTTCTAATAATTTAGCTGTGTAACGTGTTATCTAAGATTACGCATCAGCATCTAATATAATTATAAACATACATAAACAAAATGCATATACATAATAAGTGTAGTGTAACAATATTTAAAATAAAAAGCGAGACAGTTAAACCAGTCTGAAAAAAATTCGTTTACTTCAATTTTCCTTAAATACAATTATGCCGTCTTTAGAATGAAAAAAAAATATATCAACACACGCAAGTAATGACAAACCATAATTATGTAAAAAATTTATTATAAAGGCTGTATTAACAAGACAGAAATAAAATGCAGAAAACAGGAAATAAAATTATAAAAATTTATGGATTCTTAAAATTACTTTCAAATCTTAAATTTTATTTATTAATGTTTTGTAATTACTTTCATAAAAATTTTTGGTTTAACTTTTTTGAAAACTGCCTTCTCTGATAGTTCATTCGCCAATCCATTGTGTATGGAACTTACACGAGCCATGACTGATTTATGAAATCAACTCTTGAGCAGAATTCATTCAAATATTGCAGACAGATGTGGCAGCTGATGAAACTTATTCAAAAACGCCGTCTTTGTTCATCCACATCTTTGCATGTAACCCCTTTGAGTGATTCCGCGTCCTAATGATGCTAATCAATCATTCTGCTACGCAAAATGCATTCTCTGAGTTTTTTATTATTAAAAATTATTCAAATGTCACAAATAAAGGGTTGACAATAACACAGTGTCATCAGTCATGTTCGCCGGGCGCAGCTTTTTTCAGCGTCATTACCTCCACAATTACAGCAAACACGCGCGCGTGTGCAGCGGAAAAAGTTTAAGTCGCAGGTATTATTGGGGCTTTAGTTGGTGCGCTCGGCAGTCAAAGCGAAATTCTTACAAATGCGCCTCGCGATTAAATCGTCACGTCAAAAAGAACGCGGGGTTTTATTGTGGATTCGCCGGGGCTAATTTGAAATATGCAAATACTGCGAGGCGCGGAAAAGGGTTTTGTGCATGAGAGACGCGAACGTCGGACGCGCTACTGCGAGGATTTTGGCCTCTCTTTGATGGATGACAATGCACTCGCGGCGGCGGCTCTGTCAAAACGTGATTTATGCCCCCTCGAATTTCCACCCGCTGATACTGATACTACACACTCGCCATTATTCGCCGACACATACCTTTTTGCCTGCGTGTGACACTTTCAAAGAGTTAAAATGTTGGCAAATAACCAAAATCGGCGTTTGCAAAATTTGATGACCATTAATTTAAATTTTGAAAGAAAATAATTGAAGTCGTTTATCAAATGTTTTCAATAATACCAAATCCTAAAATAATTAAATTTGTAAATTTTGAACAGCAAGATAATTAAATTTAATTAAATGTCAAACTTTTTTGCTCACCTATAAGGGATAAAAAAATTCTTCATTGATAATTAATTACAATTTGAATTAAAATAAATATCTATTTCAGAATAATTAATTACAAGGAAAGAAACAGATCTTTTCGTAACATGTATAAAAAAAATATAGAACTAATTACACAGGAATAATTTTTTTATTTCACAGTAGAATAATTTTTATTATATAATTAAATAACTTTAAATAACTTTAAAATCAGTCGCTCAACAAACAGAAATGGACACTTAAATCAAAAGGGGCAGCGAATTTGAATTTTTAAGGGAGCGCGCCAGTTCATACAAAGTGACAGAATGACTGATCGAAAGAGATTAATTTGTGTTTTTTTATTCATCGGAGCGCATTGAAAGATTTTACGCCTTAAATGTCATATCTGCGTCAAAACAGCTGCACACAGCATTCAGATTCGAAATTCAAATGCGAGTTCAGAATGACTGTATAAAATATATAGGAAGGGGTGCGCGCGGTTGGATCGGGAATTTCGGCTCGGGGGATGCTTTGATGAGAGGCACATCAATCTTTGCGGAGGCTGTGTGTCATCGCGGGGCGCGCATACAAGTGGTGTCTTTGACTTCGCTCGCCGTCCCGATTGCCTGCCCCCGATTATTTAAATTCTCCATTCTGTGTGTATCGAATTTGCATGCCGCACACGTGAAACCAAAATTGATCGATGCATTCTGACTTTCCACCACTTGACTGAGCGAGAGTTTTTCTAATAAAAGAGTTTTCGTTAGAGGGCTGCGAAAGCTATTCTGAATTTTCCGTCCGATTGCATCTTCATCTCTTTTTTGTATATAATGTTACAGAATTCAATTCTTTTTTTACATTTCATTTATTTGAAATTTGGTTTCTGTTTCTAAAAAAAGCACACATTTTATATCAAATGAATTAAGGAATATTATAAATAGAGTTAAAAAAAAAACAGTAGAAAATTGTGTTTATGAAAGGGAAGTTAATTTAAATTTTTTTTTTTAATCGAAAATTTCAAATGGAATAAAATAAATTATGCTGCTTTTATTTTTATTTTAATGATACAATAATTATTGGTGATTACAAAAATCGTTAAAATCATTTGAAATAATTAATTTATTTGTTACACTTTGGCCTCAGTTATTTTTTGTGGGACTTAGAAAAAAAATTCAAAAAATTGTAGTAAAATCTATTTTGATCTATTATTTTTTATTACAACGTTAAGTATAATACAATGTGTACTTTATGTACATTACAATTTACAATTATCTAATAGATACGGAATGAAGCAAAACTACATTTGAATACACTTCTCAAATGATAATTATTATGTAGAGAAATTTTAAAAATAAGGTAAAAAAAATTGTTATTTACATTTCTTTTTTGCATGAAGTATATTTATAGGAAATAAATTACAAGTCCAGCCAACTCCAAGCTCCAAGCGGAATTATTGGCCGGTGCCGATAACTAAAATTTTTAGTAGTAATTAAATTGCTTAATATGTATATAAAAGATACAAATCATATATTGAATTTGCAATGAAAAATTGAATAAATATCTTGATGTATCTTTTTATCAAATACCTAATACACCAATAATAATTAATTTAAAATGAAATTAAATTTGGTACCTTTATGTTTTGTATATTATGCAACCCGTATGTCGTTCCCCGAGCTTTATCAATTTTCAGTTGATGGCACCACAGACCAGTCTCGACTTGCAGCGGCTCTGCAAGCAGCTCCCCTCACAAGCACGCCGGCAACTACGTGCACGTTGTTTTCGTTCGCTTCCGATATCAGATTGTCGCACCATTTTGAGAGCTTCAACTCGAGTACAAGGAAAACTGTTCCTTACAAAACTGATCTGAATTTGAAGAAAAACTCAGCAGGTAAAGTGAAAAAGGTGTTCATTTTGGTAAACGGGAGTTCCGCTTTGCATCGATCCATTTTTCGGCTCTTCGCAAATCGAATTTGAGCCACTTTTCTGAAATTCAAATTCGCTTTATACGCCCATGCGATTTGCAAGCAAGCCGGGCATTGTATTGATCGCTTGGTTAGTTGGGGTGGCACATTAGAATTAAAACCTCCCTTACCTTCACTCGATGGATTCGCGATGCAAATGTTATTTCAAATTGAGGGAAAATGATCGATCCAAGCATTTCACAATCCTTCGACCTTGAATTTGTGCGTAGTTCCCACAATTCTCCAGAATATTAACATGCGCTCCTTAGTTTTCTAGAAGGTGATTTTGAAGCCGGACAAGACCAAATCTAAATAATCAAATCAAACTTGATTTTTATTATGTACGCCTCATTTTTAATTTTTCACACACTTCTAATTTTACAAGGCCAATTCCAGAAGTTTTTAATTTTACTTTTTACATTTTGTTAAATTATTGATGTGCATAACCAAAAGTTGATCTTTTTATCATTAAATTTCATAATTTTGTTCTTACATCAATTAACATAAATAATCAAATGCTTATAATTTATTTTAAATTGAATCTGTTGCTTTTTAAGATGATATAATATTATTGATTTTGAATAATTAAAATATCAAAAACCTCTTCTTCTTTGTAGCAAAATATTAATTGTTTATGTTTTTGCAGCCAAGAGCAATGGAACGTGGAGGCAGAGGAGGCGGCGGTGGAGGCAGGAACTTTGGGGGCACCCGTGTCTACGTCGGAGGACTGAATGACTCGGTCAAGAAGGAGGAAATCGAGCGCGAGTTCGAGAAGTTTGGCACCCTGAACCACGTGTGGGTGGCCTTCAACCCCCCCGGCTTTGCATTCATCACTTTTGAGAACGAGGACGAGGCCCAGACGGCCGTCGAGCACCTGAACGGCTCCGAACGCTTCGGCACCAAATTGAGGGTCGAGGTTTCCCGGAGCAGAGGGCGTGGAGGCCGCGGGGGCGGCGGTGGATTCCGCGGAGGCGGCGGCGGTGGCGGCAGACGTGAGTTTGGCGGAGGCCGCGGAGGCGGTCGCAGCGACTTCGGTGGCCGCCCCTACGAGCGATTTGGGGGCCGCGACGATTTCCGCGGGCCACGACAGCGCAGCAGGTCGCCCCCAGGACGAAGGTATTAGAGTAGGGGCGATGCTGCCTCCTCCCCTCCGTCCTGTGCGCATGCGCCGTTTTTCCATCGACCTCTTCACAAAAACAGTCAAAAGCCAAACAAACAAACAAACCAAATTTTCACTAGCACGCAAATTTTCTCCGAGGAAGCACTACTTAATAAAACCTGCCAAATTAGCCTTCTGACGGTTTTGGGACACGGTTGAAAAATTGTCCATGCCTCAGATATATTCGAACTTAGTGGACCTTCTCTTAAACAATTTAGTATTTGTGCTTCGGTTTCGGTGCTTCACTACCATTCGAGTCTTCCAAAAATTTTTGAGCTGTGCTTGACTCTATAAACATAAATATTCAGAGTGCATGGTGCGCGCCGAAGGAGCACGTAAGAGCCTCCTCGTAATTTCCTCTACTTGCAGCGACTACTACGAATCCTCCTCCAACTACCGCTCACGAGACCAATATGCGGGCGACGCTCCCAGAAGTTACCCTTCGCACGGTGGCGCCAACAGATACTAAGGTAGCCAAAAGTTGAATGCAAAAAGACTGAAAATCTAGTCAGAGCTGTGATCTAAACGAGACGTCGTTGTCATTTTTCTTAGCGCTTTGCTAACCAACTGGCGTCGTTGTAATCGTCTAAAAATCTCTTCTCATGGCTTTTTAAATGTCAACGTGACTCTAAAACGCACTTTGGCCAGACTTCGTTGTAAATGACAGTTTGTTTTAGTAGAGTTACGCGTCGTTGTGACCTGAAGTTAAACAAATGTTCCTATATTTGCAGAAATCTTCGATGATGTGCGACCAAGCGCATGTTTGATCAGCAAATGGTCAGCACACAAGTATGAATTTTCAGTCGACAAGACACCTTCACAAACAACAGCTTCATGAAGCTCATTTCTATTGCTTGTAATTTCTTTGTGGTAAAATATATAGTTCGGAATCTCTCAAATTACCCAATCAAGTAAAATCATGGATTTATTTAAAAGTGTTGCTTTTCAATGAAATAAAATTTCTTTTACCAAATCACAATTTATTTTCATACAAAATTACATTTTAATTTCCTACATAAGCTTGGCTATTAAGGATTAGAATATTAGCATCATTTTAAATATTTGTTTACTCTTTTTGAAGCCAAATATCAGAAGTGCAATCACCGCCAGGGTAACGAACCTCGTGAGCCAGAACAGGGCCGTCGGGCTCTTTTCCAAAGTCGACAATGAATTCCTCATCCAACTTCAGCCCTCCGTTTTCAACATCAACATCTGCTCTCACCATTACAGACCCATTTCTGGAAAATTTAAATTCTGTTATCGAGATTCAAGACTGAAAGTTTCAAACTCACATTGTAAGATCTGGGTAGAACTGTTTGTCCCATGGAGAAAACAATGAGCTCGTGATATACAGTCGCTTGCCATCAAGACTCAGTTGAAGCATCTGAGGCGCTCCATACAACCTCCTTCCTTTCAGGAAAACAGGTTTTGGTTGCTCCTTTAATTTTCAAGAGTTGCATTAAAAAAAAAAATTGAATTAAATCATTTACCTCAAGTTCCGAGTCCTCGAGAACTTTGACAGTTCCATCGCTTAGAATGCTGCCTCCGAGGAATAGTTGCCCCACTAGTTTTGGGTTTCTGCGGTCTGTAATATCATACTGGCGCACGTCGCCATGCAGCCAATTGCTGAGATACAGGAAGCGATCATCTAGTGATATCAGAATGTCCGTCATCATGCCTAGAAAATTTTCATTTAAAAATATGCGATTTAGTAGCTTCATTTAAAATACCTGATATCATTGGGCTCCCCCAACCCTCGACCTTTTTCTTTGGGATCTTGATCACTGGTTCTGCATTCCAATTTCCATCACTCTCTTTGAAGAACCTAATATCAGTATAATTAAAATTAAGGCCCCTGTATTAATCGTAATTTTAGATAAAATTAACCTGTAAATGACAGCATTTAGAGCACACCCAACATATCCCTGAGCTTCTAGGGGGTTGTGGAGGAACCTTGTTTCGAGAGGAGCAATTCCGTCTTCACCCAGATCAATTGTCTTAATAAGTTTGCGCTCCTTCCAGCTCCAAAAATTTATTGAGCTGCCATATAGTTCTACAGCACATTTTTTTTCAAGTTTTATAAATATATTCATCAGGAATAATAATTTTGGAGATATAATTTCATACCTTTATCTGTGGTATCCTCCGGAATAAAGCCCTTTCTAAATGACTTGGGGGCACCCCATTCACTGCTCACCATTATGTTGTGATGTGGCTGGTACCAAAAGTCATAACCAAATTTGGCATCTTCCTTTGACCACGACCCTTTTGAATTTTAATTCTGTTGTTTTTATTGCATTTCTTTTTTTAAATAATTTTACCCTTGATGGTGAAGTCCTTGCTGTCAAGGAGAGCAAACCCACCTCGACCATTTTCATCAACGTCACCCATTCCCGAAATCATAACGTCTCCAGAAGCAAGGCAGTGCGCCGTATGCGGAGCAGTTATGTTCACCGAGTGGAGTTCGCTGGGCTCCAACACCTATACAAATTTAATAAATATGCACTTAAAAGTTTTATTGCTATCAATTAAATTAGAATAAGTCACTTTGTGCAGCTTTGGCTCACGAGGGTTAGCACCAGTGTCCAGGATATAAATTCTGTCGCTGCCCAAGCAGGGAATGATTATTTTGTCCCTCTTGCAACTGGGATCACCATGACAGCTGCTGCATGAATTCCACCCAAAGTGATGAAATTCATCACCGACTGCAGTTCCGTAACAACGACTTATGACCTGTAATTAAGATATAAATTTAGAGAAAAAAAATTATCAAATATCTTTAAAATTGACAAAATTTATACTCAAAGTAGTCGAGGTACATATATTAATATTTCATTTTTGGCAACTAAGTGTAATAGGAACATCTTAATTTTAATTCTTGCCTGGCAGTACTGAGAACTCTCTGGATCAATATCCACAGTGGCCAAGTAGTCAGGTTTTTGGCGCCCGTTAGGTTGGACACAGATCACATAAAGCAATTTTTCCTTTGGGCCATTTTTCATGGCATCAAGAGGACTGGAATAGCCAGGACCAGAGCAGCATCCTAATTGAAATAACTCGTTTCTATCAATGCGTATCAACAACATTATGAAACAAAAATAATTTTTTTCTAAAAATAGGAAGTTCTTTCTAAATAAAATTGTATTTTGTTCTTGTATGCGTTACCTAAAGTAGTCATAATATAGCAGAAGGATGAATTGCTATTTCCAGCAAGCTGAAGACAATTTTCTGTCAGATAAACTTATAGTTTACCGACTATGAATTAAAGCAGAAATGATGGGGGGTGCCAAAGAGGGAGTGCTGTTTTTAGAGATAATCAACAGTTGGTTGGTTGCCCTCTCAAGGTCAAAGGAGCACATTCAACTGTTTAGGGTGATGACCGGGAAATCCGACAAAAAATTATATCAAAACAAAATTTAATGCAGAGTTCTTTTAGCCAAAATTGATTTATTAAATTTTAAACCTCTCCGAGCACATATAATATTTATTATATATGATCGATAATTTCAGCAAAAGGCAAAACTGATAAAATATGAATCGCAGCCTTTTCAGTACATTAAGGAAAGTTTGTTCCAAACATCATCTGGCAGTGTTTCATCCTCGTTGCCACTGCTTTCATCAGATTTTTCCTCCACTTCGCCAGCTCTTTGAGCACTTTCTGTAACACTTTGCCTTTCTATTTTCTGATCACCAGCATCAGGAGCCACCTCTGCCTCTTCTCCAAGAGCATCTTGATTGTTTTTCTGTGGGAAAGCACACCCTTTTGATGATTCTCCTGTCAATCTTTCCCTATAATCAGCGTCCAGGATCTCCATGCAGCCCTGTCCTTTAATAAGTTTTTCCTTCACACCATCCGTGTTAGCTCTCCAACTACGCATATCACCATCCTTTGAGGCTGAAATGAGCTGAGAAAATATTTTTTAATAAATTTATCGTCCTGCAAATTTAAATAATAAGAAATTTACCTTAAAGACGTTTGAATCATTTTTAGCTCTGTACCAATCAACCAACTGGACGCTGCTCTTATGACCTTTTAGCTTCAACACCGGAGAAATGTCGGGGGGATTTTCATGGGGCTTCGTGGCAGTTTCCCAGATGAAAATGCAATTGTCCTGGGCACAGCCTGAAGCCAGGTATGAACCGCAAGGGCTGATGGAAATTGAGGAAAATTTTCCAGCGACGTATCCAGTAAAGGTTTGCACTGTGAATTGCGAGATGACAAAAATACTTTTTCCTTAATTTTACACTATATCAATTTTTTACACACAGTGTTTTTGCAGGAAGTTGCTCAAGTCATACATATAGATTTTGTTGTCCAGGCAACTCACAAAGAGACCATTTGTATTGTTCAAAGCAATGCTGCAGATAGTTGCACTCATTTTCAGCATATTTGTCATGGGCAAATTTTTCTCGCCATCTCCAACGTAAGTATAATCAATTTTCCAGAATTTAACTTTCCTATAGAAAAAATCATTAATAAAAATTAACATAAATGTAACTGGGCAACTTTTGAAATAATAATTACATGTCATCAACTCCAGCAGAAATAAGAGTTGTGCTATCCATAAAAATAAGACTGCAAATTCCTAATGACTTTGCTAAAGATTTTCCAGACGCTGAAACAAAAATTCAAGTTTCTGTTAAGATTTTAGAGTAAAACTTACTGTGCGCTTTCAAAGCATGAGCCTTATTGATTTTAAATGATGGGAAGATGTAATTTTTGTGGTATACATAAATTATACCACTCTGCCCAGCAGTCGCAACCAGATCTAAAATTATTTGTAAAATAATTTTTTGCTACATATTTAAATATCCCTTGTTGCACGCATACTTGGCACTGCAGGTAGAGTGGCTAAACAGCAAAGACGGACCTCTCTTCCACAATCAAATGCGACATCCAGAAGTCGCATGTGAATTCTAAGAGCTCGTCTGTCAAATTTCACTCGCCAAAGCACTAAAGTATCCTCTCTCTCCGTCGAGACAGCTAAGATTTGTCCCTGAATACTCTTTGTCCAAGCCACAGCTCCAACTTCTTGCTGCTCAGTGCTTTGCTCTACAGAGTAAAAAATAGATAACTAATTAAATTGTGTGTTTTACACAAAATTATAAATTGATTTTGTATGCCACTTAAATACATAATATATTATATGTAATAAAAAATAATTTTTATCCACAAACCTTCTCCAACGGTGACTCCAAAAGTCCCAATTTCAGCCAATGCAATTTTCCCAGAAGAATATCCAAGAACGACAAAATTTCCAAACTCTTCAAATGGGCAGAAAGACATGCAATTCACTTTGACTGCGATGCTTTTTTCGTTTTTGCTAGCCTTGCTTGGGGCAGATGGTTGTTGCTTATGTGGGGTATAGCTGTCCACTGAAGAACTCCACACGTTTAAGACTTTGCTTTTGTCCATTCTGTCCTCGCTCTGCAAACAAATCTACATAAAAAGTGCCTGATTATCTGCGTCTGACGTCTCTGCGTCTGCCATTACAAAGCAATCGCTGCCCTTATTTTTGCACTTTTTGCAGATTTATTCTGCTCCAAGCGATTTGTTTCTTGTTTCCTAATGTCCAAACTAGCTCCTCCTCTTTCTATCGTGAGCACATAATGAATTTTTTTACTTTTGCCTTCGTTTTTCCTTGTTCGCCTCGTAGTCTCGTACAGAATTTTCCTCGTGCGTCTCGTGCTTGCTAAGCTCAAACAGGTTCCACCATGTGCGCTTGCGTTCGTTCTTGTCCAGCATCGAAACACGCATTCTGATTGGTTTAGAATTTACTTATTCAAAATATCATCCCAACATCCAGATTATTCTATCCTTCGTGCATCTTGGAAGTTATTTTTCAATCCGCGGTCATCGACGATAAATAAGCACAATGGTTGTTACTAAAGCAGCAGGGGACAGAAGAATGGCCCAAAGTGGGGCCTTCAAGGACAAGAGCAAGCCAAGGGACATCAGGTCGAGCAATATCACGGCCGCAAAAGGTGCGTTTCTTGATGGGTGCCGGTTAGCTTTAGGGCGTGTTTACATTTTGTCAACATGTTTTTAATTTTGAAATTTTTACTGAAAATTAAATCGAAAGCTCTGTTTTGAAAAAGGGACTTTAAAACTAAGACTGGCAAATTTATTTTTCAGCCGTTGCCGATGCTATCAGGACAAGCTTGGGACCCCGAGGAATGGATAAAATGGTGAGGCTATTTTTTGTGCGTGGGAAGTCAAGATTTAATAGAATATTCTAGATTTTAACTGCTTTAATATGTTTTATTCGATCAGTAATTTTTGTTATTGTATAAAAATTTTTTTTCTCAGATCCAAGCCGCAAATGGAGACGTCACAATCACTAATGATGGAGCAACAATTTTGAAGCAAATGAATGTCATGCACCCGGCAGCGAAAATGGTAATGACGCTAAAAATAAATAAGCTATGTATATATTTCTGATTTAAAAAATATGAATGTAATTCTAGCTAGTGGAGTTGTCAAGATCTCAGGACATCGAAGCTGGAGACGGAACCACCTCAGTTGTGGTCATTGCTGGATCTTTGTTGGAAGCTGCAGAGAAATTGCTGTCCAGAGGAATTCATCCTTCTGCCATTTCTGATGCCTTCCAGAGGGCCGCCACCAAATCTGTAGAAATTCTCACAAAGATGTCTCGCCCTATTGAATTGAACGATCGTGAGAGTCTCGTCCAAAGCGCGTCAACCTCTTTGAATTCAAAGGTTGTGTCTCAACATTCATCTCAGCTTGCGCCTCTTGCAGTTGACGCCGTCCTCAAGGTTATTGATCCTACCAAGGATCACAATGTTGACTTGAAGGTTAATATCATAGAGTTTAAAATAAATATATATGGTTTTAATTGTATGATTACTTGCAGGACATTAAGTTGATCTGTCAGCTGGGTGGCACTGTCGATGATACAGAATTGGTTGATGGTCTTGTTTTCACTCAAAGACCGGCTGGTGCAAACCCTCCGAGAAAGGTTGAAAAGGCAAAGATTGGTCTCATCCAGTTCTGCATTTCCCCACCGAAAACTGATGTATGTGTTTGCCCTGTGATCTAAATGACTTAAAATTAATCATTTTCTTTTCGTATGCTAGATGGATCACAATGTGATTGTGTCGGATTATGCCGCCATGGACCGAGTGCTGAAGGAGGAGCGCGCTTACATTTTGAACATTGTGAAGCAGATCAAGAAAGCTGGCTGCAATGTTTTGCTCGTCCAGAAGTCAATCCTGCGTGATGCAGTCAGTGATCTTGCTTTGCACTTCCTTGATAAAATCAAGGTTATGGTTATCAAGGACGTCGAGCGAGAAGACATTGAGTTCATTTCTAAGGTAGCTAAATAACTCTCTAATTAAAAAATTGATCAAATTTTATAATCTCGCAGACTCTGAGCTGTCGCCCCATTGCCAGTTTGGACCACTTTACTCCTGAAAACCTTGCTAGTGCTGACCTCGTCGAAGAAGCTTCGACCGGAGGCACAAACAAGGTTGTGAAAATCACTGGCATTCAGAACATGGGGCGCACTGTGACTGTCTTGGTGCAGGGCAGCAACAAACTTGTACTTGCTGAGGCCGAGCGATCTCTTCATGATGCTCTTTGCGTCATTAGGTGTCTTGTTCGCCAGAGGTATGTTTTCAAGAACACAAAACAAAAATAATGCAATATTTTCGTCTTGCAGAGCACTTATTGCTGGAGGCGGAGCTCCTGAAACAGAGGTGGCCTTGAGACTGTCGGAACATGCTCAGACAGTCACTGGAGTTGATTCTTATTGCTTTAGGTATGTCATATTAAATGCCCTTGAGTTCAAGTAATTTAAATAAGTAAATTTCAGAGCATACGCAGATGCCTTGGAAATCATCCCTCTCACTTTGGCTGAAAACGCAGGTTTGAACTCTATTGCGACTGTTACCGAATTAAGGAACAGACATGCTCAGGGTGAGCAAACTGCTGGAATCAACGTTAGAAAGGTTTGTTTGCGTCTCTTCTGTCAATGAGGACTTAAATCATCTTAAAATCATAGGGAGCTGTCACAAACATTTTGGAGGAGGAAGTGGTGCAACCCTTGCTTGTCTCGACCAGTGCTATCAACTTGGCGACGGAGACAGTCCGCAGTATTCTCAAGATTGATGACATTGTCAACACAATGCAGTAAAAGTAAAGTCACATCACCTCTAATTCCGTTTACTCCGATTATGCACTTAATAAATTAATTTATGTTTTGATTCCACAATGCTTACTACTTCTCACTGCTACTAAAATGAAAATAAATTTGATCAAATCTGGCAGAAGTTAAACAATTTGTCTTTATTAAATCCCTGGCTTGCGATTGTATGAAATCAAGACACAGTTGTTTTCTATATTAAAATTGCAGATCGAGGAATGAAATTTATGTTCTTGGGGCTCCGTAAGCATCTGGCATTCTTTCAATCGTGTACCTAAAATAATTAAATTTAGATACAATTTCTGTGTTGAATTTTTAAATAATACCTTCTCTGTGAAATGTACATGATAGGCACACCGGGAATTTTTCTGATTCTGTTCTTCAAGTCCTTGTCACAAGTGGCCACGATGTAACATTTATGCTGAAATTTCCTAGTGAATTTTAAGATTCATGATTTCTAATTTCATCATACCTGCATCACCCTCTGAACAATACAGTCATCAGCATAGGTGCCCTTGTGGGTGCAGGCCATTCTCTCAAAACGCGGATCTTTGAGAATACTAAGGGCAATTCTGAATTTCTGACCCAGCTTTTCTAACTCGGCAATGACACAATCGGTAACATAAGGAATACCTGTAATCATAATTTGGTTTGAGAAAAAAATCAACCAGCATAATTTGAATGTTACATTTAGCATAGAGACAGTCCATCATACTCTGAATTACATCTAGCTTGTTTTTAATAGAGAAGTTGACAAAGTTTGTGTCAACAATGATGTGATATGGTGGTCCAAGCTGTGTATTGTATTGGAAGAATAGAGCTGACGAAGTCTGGGTTCTAGAATTGTAAGAAAAATATTCTTAGTTCAAATTTCGTGAATGGCCGGTAATAATTAAAACATTCTGCGGAGATAGCGGAGCGAAGACTTACACTTGTTTAACTTTGAGTTCATGAGGATCCTCTGGCTTCTTCCTTTTTGGCGGAGCTCTCTTATCTGCTTTGCTAAATTTTAAATTTAGAAGAGACTGATTTTTAAAGGAAAAAAAAATAAGATGAAATTACATTCTGGAATCGCTCGGACTCAACATCTTCTTCATTTTAGCGAATCGCTTTTCCACAATTTTCCTTGTTTTCTTAGTTTTGCCCTGGAATAAAAATTTGAATCAATATTATATGCAATCAAAGTCATAATTATTAGCACATTGCAATCATAAATTAAATAACACAAAGAAAACTAATACATAGTTTAAAGAAGTGAAGGGCAATATTTATCAAAGAAACAGATCAGCGCTAACAAATTATTGCAAAATAAAATGGGGCTGAGATTAAAATTACCATTTTGAAAGCTTTCAAGGGTTGAGAAAGTAAGGTTGCGGACGTTGCGGTGTAATTTTATGAAAAATCTGCAATATCGATTTACGCTTCTCACACGTGTGTCCTGTAAACAAATCCTGCAGCTGGCAGAACGATGGGGTCGTGACGCATGCGCTCACGCCTCATTGGCTACTTCCAGATTGCAAAACAAAAATACTGCAGACCTCAAATTTGCTCCGTGTTTTAACTTAATTAATCATTGAGTTGGTGACTGTCGACGTGTTTACTCGAGGTTTTTGTGTCAAGTAAGTTGCCCTCTTGGGTTCTGAATGATTTTCAGTCAGGATATTGCTTTCGAAAGAGAATTTAGGGACGAGGGAAAGTACTACGCAGAAATGGGCGGATCAAGAAGTGGTGCATTACCTTAGCAACAACTCGGAAGTCAACAAAGAAAGGTAAAACATGAATTCCTCGTTTCCTGCGTCAAACTTATTAATGCTCCTTACTTACAATTAACTAAACTTATCATTTAAGTTTCTTTCAATTTTATTCAGCAATTTTAGATGAACAAATTTTCTGAAAATATGTATGATTTGTGTGTTGCATAATACACATTTTGAAATGACTTTGATACACTATTTAGGCCAAGGAATAAAACCTGAAGTGAAATTATAATAGTTTATGTAGCATCATAATATTATATTATGTATTGACTTGGTTAATCTATTAATACACATGCATTGAAGAATTTAAATAAAAATTCTTTTCTAGCAACCCCGACATTTTGTGAATTTTTGTGATCAAGTGGTTGTCAATTTATATGATTCTATAAAATGCAATAAACAATCAAAACTTTTTTAGAATTACCCTCGCATTTTAATTTCATTGTGAATAAGTCATACAAATTAATATGGTAGTGTTCCTCTAGTTTTAAAAAAAATTCCTGACATCACAATTTTAGTGTGAAGGAACAGAAATGATTTTTGTTTATAAATTTTTATAAGACAGGGGTTATTGCTAATTTTATTTCAACAGATGCCCCGAAAAGAGCCTAAAAGGCTGCATGCGACAACCGCTGCTCGGATCAGCAAGTCGCTTGCCCATGTCTGCAAATTCATTGACTACACACGTCACGAACTTGACGTAGCAAAAGAGATGAAGGTCAACTTGGCCCGCATTGCCCAAAGTCTGCCAGGTCCCAGCCTGGAGCAAGTTATGACCGAAGTTGTCTCCCACCTGGAGAACGACCTTGGCCTTGGTGACGGTGAAGACTCTGGTCTGGCGACAGCCCTCTCTGTATTCCTTCAACCGCAGCTGCGATCTGTCAATCTCAGCTCAACTTTCCACAAGGTTGCGCATTGTTGTACACGCTCAGCATTATGAAATGCATTGCTTTGCAAATGCAAGTTAGCGATTGCAGCACTTAATGCTTCTATAATTATCCATCTTTTCCTCATAACTAGGAACTAGGAAGTTTTCTGCATTATTTTATTTTTCAGAGGAATTTTGCTTTTAATAAAATAAATTTTGTGTGGACTAAATTGGTTTTTTAGGTTCGACTGCACCCACAATTGAGGAGCAACTGCAGTACCATGGTACATTCGAGCCTGTCAAGTCTGAAGTACCTGAGTCACCTGAACTTAAGCATGTGTGCCACAAATGATGCACTTCTAACAATATCTAAAAATTGCCCCAACCTGATCTCACTCAATGTGTCCTGTTCCGACGAACTCAACGACGAAGGTCTTGTGCACCTTGCTCCGAAAGACTCAAGTGGATGTGCACAGCTCAGGGTGCTGAACATGCTAAAAGTAAAAGTGATTATTTGTTTTTTATTATTTTATTAATCCATTTTTTTTTTACCTCACACAGGTGTGGCAGTTGACACCAAAATGCGTGGCTTTGGTCACAAGCAATCTTAACCATCTTGCCTATCTGGCTTATGATCGCTTTGGAGAGATGATTGAGTCCATCGAGCACAAGAACCGTGCCCTCCACTTAATGAACTTTGACCACTCTTTCAGCATTTACAAACCTACTTACGAAGAGATCTGCGCAGCTACAAAAATTTGTCCCAATATCACAGAGTTGAAGGTAAAATTTATTTGAAAGATAGAAAATCAAATTTAAATTTCCTCGCTTCTGCTAGGTTAATACAAACGATGAGTCACTGCCCTTGTTTAGCGTCATGGAAAAAGTGGAGCATGTGACTGTAGAGCTGGACGGAGAATTAAAAAGTGGGACGGAGATGTGGTTGCAGTATTCGGGGCCGAAATTTCGCAGCGTCGACTTGACCGTTGGTCACGATATTACCTGGAAGCAGTTGGTGCACTTGGCAGAGAATTGTACAAATCTCAGAAAACTCAAATTTACTGGACAGAACCTGATTTGGGACCAGGGCGCCTTTTCAGGTAATTGTTGATCTAATTTTTAATATATAAAAATATTGATTTTTTGCTCCTTTTATAGAAATCAATGTCCGCTTTCCTCAGCTTGAGGAGCTTGAAATGAATTTCAAAGGGATTCAAGCCATACACGAGAATATGCTGAAATGGATTCTGAGATCGGCCTGTGACAGTATTAAATCCCTTAAAATTGATGGTCCCGTTCCATTTATTTGTGATACCTTTGTCGAGACCCTTTTCAAAGATTACCCAATGAAGAATCTGCAGGAATTCTCTTTTCAAAAGGCGCGCCAGGTATATAAAAAAAAAATGATAATAATAATAAAAATTGAAATTATTTTCATTATTTTTGTACAGGGGCAGCTAACAGTACAAACTCTGAGACTGGCCATCAAAAACTGCCCCGATTTGCAACGTGTGAACCTGAGTGGCTTTACTCTTGAAGCTAGTGATATTGATGCAGTGAGAAAAGAAATTGATCAGAGCAACCTCAACATTAAGTTCTTTGTGGATCCTGCATAGGATCTGAATAATATTATGTTCACATCACTTAAAGTTTGTGCGTTTTTTAACTTGATAGTCTTTTTTGTAGTAAAAGTGGTACTTTATTTTCACTTTTAATCTTCTTTTGTTATTGAGATATGTATATGAAGATAATATATCATACCAAATATTCAATATTTATTGCCAAAGGAATTTACAATATTATTGACAAGAAGATTATTTGATCATGTTTATTATTTGAATTAAAAGCAAAAAGAGCTGTAATTTGAAAAAAAAAATGTGAATGCTTCATATTTATTACTATAGTTAAATTAAAATGATTGTAAAATGTGGTATATTGTATCAGTATAACCAAAGTGTGTGGATGAAATATGTTAAAATAATGCTTAGCTTTATAGTCAAGAACTGTGGTGAGATTATTTCGAATGAATATAAAGTAATTTTTAACTCATGATTTTGTATAATTGTGATTACACTGGTCACATTATCAATTTTGAATTTGATTTAAATCATTATAAATTAATGAGATAATATAGATAAAGAGATTCATGTATGAAAGAAGAAATAAATACTGCATTAAAAATATTTATAAGTCCATCACTGTGAAAATACGAAAATAAAACCAATAAAACATAATAAAAACTTGCCAATATACGCAATATACAAATTAAACGTTTTTTTTTGCATGCGAAGATGTCTCAATATTAGTATATTCTTAAAGTAAAAGGGTCAAAACTAAATTTGAATGATATTCTAACTTTTTTCCTCTCCGAGTTAACATCAATCAAGAAAACATTTTTTTTTGCATTTGCAGAGGCGAAACTTGGGAGACAAAAGGAATAATAAAATACGAAAAAAAAATGTTTGCTTTGTTAAAGTGGCACTCGTGGCCTATAAATCCTATAATGTATCAATGCAGGTATACGTTGCTCTACAATTAATATTTCCTGTTTTGCGTGTATAACATCTATAATATATTAATGCATCAGTGTGGCTTTTAATCAATGTGTAGCAAAATAGTGCAAAAATATTTAACTAATAATAATTTCCTCCCCACTGTCAAACTGGTTCATTTTCCCGCGCTACGTTACGTATTTTTCAGCTTCAAATTTTAGCGCACTCCCAATGTGTCGCTGCGATCGCGTTTGAAAATAATTTTGTCGAGATTCGAGATCCGAAATCTAAGACAAGTGCTTTTCTTCGTCCTATTTTATCATTCTATTGGCCGTCCTAACTCCGATTTATGAAATAGATTGACAGGACATTACGTCTAGGATGAGTCTTGACTGCGCGATTTGAAATTTGTTCAGAAGTTCGTCGAATAAGGACAAGGGAAAAGCTCCGGGTGGGCGTTCTATTTTCTTCTGCATAAGAAAACAACAAGGACTCAAAAATGGACCAAATGCTACCAAGTCCGGGCTTCAGCATCCCGAGTATCGGGACGCCGCTTCACCAACCTGAGGAGGACCAACAAATTCTTCCAATTGCTCAGCAGCAGCAACATTCCTCTCAGCAACCGCCACCACTGATGCAGGCCTCCAGCACCCCACAGCGTACTCATGCCTATGTCACAAACTTTGCACCGCCTCAGAGCCTCATGCAGCCCCAGACACCGGTTTGTAGAATAACTGAACTCTTGAGACAATATTTTAGAAACATTTTCATCGATCTTTTACTCATGATTTTGTTCTTGCAGCAAAATCTCATGTCCCCAATGGTGCCTGCCTCCAACCAGTCGATGGCTCAGCAAAACTCAATGGGCCCTGCAACTCCAGGGCCAATGACTCCCATGACCCCATCATCTGCAGACCCTGGCATCGTGCCGCAGCTACAGTACGTTTATTTTAAGTGGGTGCGTGAAATAAATTAAAACTTATTTTATTTTACCAGGAATATTGTGTCCACTGTTAATCTTGGATGCAAACTGGACCTGAAGAAAATTGCTCTACAAGCTAGGAACGCTGAGTACAACCCAAAGCGTTTTGCTGCTGTAATCATGAGAATCCGAGAGCCAAGAACAACTGCCCTGATCTTCAGCTCAGGCAAAATGGTGTGCACAGGAGCAAAGAGTGAGGATGACTCAAGACTGGCAGCTAGGAAATATGCACGAATTGTGCAAAAGTTGGGATTTGCTGTAAGCAGATTTAAATTATTTGAAACGTGGTTATGCTGAATGATTTTGTATATCACAGGCCAAGTTTCTTGACTTCAAAATCCAGAACATGGTTGGTAGTTGTGATGTGAAGTTCCCCATCAGACTGGAGGGTCTAGTCCTTAAGCACGCTCAGTTCAGCAGGTAAAGCTTTTCAATTGCCTTTTTTAATAATCAATTCAATAAGCTGTACATTCACCAATCGGAGTAATAATTGTAATTTGTAATTTGAAAAAATTTATTAAAATCAACTTTTTCAGTTACGAGCCTGAGCTGTTTCCTGGACTGATCTATCGCATGGTCAAACCAAGAATTGTGCTCCTCATCTTTGTGTCTGGCAAAGTGGTTCTGACAGGTAAAGAATAAATTTTACTTTAATCATGTGGAAAAGAAATACCATTATTGTTTTTACAGGTGCAAAAGTGAGACAAGAAATCTATGAGGCATTTGACTCCATTTACCCAATCTTGAAACAATTCAGAAAAGCGTAAATCCTGCTGGTTGTGGTTCAAACATTGTATATTATTTAACTGTGACTTCAAAGTGACCAAGTGAATCAGGTTCATTCCATGCAAAACATCAATTGCGAGCACTCTCGAAATGTAGTAAAATCATCATTTTACAATCAAAATTTTAGCTCCGAAATGTTGACGATGAAATGTTAAAGCATCACGCTTTTTTAAAGCTATGGTTCCAGCTAGCCTATTATAAAGTGTTCTTGAAGGAGCCACCTTAAATGGTATAGCTTAATCAAGCATTGCAAAACTTTGAGTTATAATTCTTTCATTTGTGTACATAATATTAACTCTTCTATCAAGCAAAGGGGTACGCAAATTCATACGGAATATCATCAGCACTCATTTTATTTGAACATTAGATTTAGTCAAAACTACCTGACTCGGACTAATGTGCATTGTGTTCAATGTTAACTGAAAACTTGAGCTATTTAAAAAATTGTTCTTGATGTAAGGATAAAATTGAACTTACTGCAGATTCAGCCGGAGAGTCATCGAGCGTAATAATTCTAAATGACAGTAACATGGCATTAAGTTCGAGCACTTGGTTGCTGCTTAATGCTGCTAGTGTATCTATTGGACATACAAAAATTGTACCTAAGAGCTCGTTAATTTATTTTCATGAAACTCCCAATACTTCTAGCCCCAAAAGGCAATTCTCTTGCCCATTTGTAATTAAATGAAAAATAAAATGTTGAAATTTTTGCAAGGGACCTCTCTTTTGAATGAAACTCCCATTTTTAGAAAACACGTAGGAAGCATTTATTTGTTTTAACAACAGCTCTGCTCTCGTATACCACTTTGCAAATTCACAGGTTGCAAGAAGTAACCCTTTCAAGCATAACACGCCTGGTGTCAGGTTGATCTTTACTCTGATTAATAATGCATTCTACCATCATTCACTCCAGAGCTATAAATGTTTTTCACAGTTTTAATGAAACCTAAACAAAATAAAATAAGCAGACAATCTTGTAATTATTACACAAAAATGTGCTGGACAAAAAATCCTTTTTTATAGTGCATAATATCATCTGCCAGAATTCAAGCTATCTAATAGGTAAACCATTTAAATTTTTGCAAACAACATTATTCTGTTTGTTTTTAATGTTTGTATCCAATTAAATAATATTTAATAACGTACGCTTTGACAGAAAAATTTAGTAAGTTTCAGAGAGCCCTCAGATCAGTAAGTTTTGGCTCTCCTGTTTGGAAAGTCGAAGAAAATGAGGTGCCTTATAATTAAAATCTGATGCTGAAGTTTCTGAATTCTTGTCTGGAAAGGAACTCCCAGTTTGCCACATCACACCGCTCAATTTTGCATCCAGGACTTCCGGTCTTTGACAGCCACTCAATCCTTGAATCAAAAAATCAAAATTTAACAAAAAAAAAAATAGCAATATGTAATTATTAATTAAAAATAGTATTATTACATAAAATTTGTGTAATGATAATCCCACGTTTTTGAAAATATAGTTCTTATGAATTCTGAAAATTAAATTTCAACCATTTGTATTTAATTTAATAAGTAGATTATGGCATTGTAATTATGTATTCTACTTTCTGACGAATTTTTAAACTTAAAACACGTGGAGATTGCCATGTTCGCGGGGAAAATTTTGGTGGGGGTAGGAGAGAACCCTGGTGGATTTGACTGGAGAGGATTTTTCTTGAGAAAGGGGGAGTCAGTCATCTGTTTGATTTGTTTATTATTGTGTGGTGTTTTGCGAATCTCTCCAAGTTGATGTTTAATCTCGTTTTCCATAGATGATGGACAAATTTTTAATGAACGTTTTAACTTCAGTTGAAATTATGTATTGTCAGTCTGCGCGAATAATGTGGAGAAACTCGGAAATCATGGGACTTTGAGAAGACACAGCCAAGAAAAGAAACATCGATTATGAGAGGAGAAAAGGTAAGACATTTTTTAATAATTTGTTATTTAATAAGTAGCAATTTTTTATTCACTTAATAAATTAATGCTGTTTTGTAATAATTGATTACTATTAGTTTAAAAAAATTTAAGAATGTTTTTATACGTATAATTTTATTAGGAAAAATAACTAGTACATATTAAATATATTCAATAGCAATGAATTAAATCTATCATACAAACGCTTCAAGAAAATAAGAAGAAAATTATTTTGGATACCAAGTGGCATCTTTGCGTCGTCATAAGTCATTCATTGGAGCTAAATCTAGTGAGCGCAAAAACCACTTATTTTTTTGCGAAGACGTGTGCATGTGGCTGACGTGCCTCCACAATCGCACAGACAATGCTCAAAGGCAAATCAGTCAGAGTCTCCAAGTGTCATAAATAAACGGCCAACTCTAAAAGCCAGAGAGTCCGTCTTGTCTCCGGTCTTGAGTCGGTGCCAAAATCGCGCCTCGAAAATTTGACCCCAGGGAGGCCGAAGAAGCTCTCTTCGTCTTACGTGCTGCCCCGTCCGGTAATTCACACAACAAAACTTAATTTTTCCCGGCGCCTCATTTCTGTTCCTTGGACAAACACAAGGCAAAAAATAAACGCGCATAACAAGTAGGCTCGGTGCCAAGTGAAATATTTTTTGTCCATTTCACTCGCCATTAAACGTCTCGCGCCATTGTCTGGGTTTCTAATACGCAGCAGCCTGAAATTTAATTTTTAGTGCTGGTTTCTTTGATTATGCAAAATTTAACCGTTCTTTTACGCAGATTCCACATCCTGCTTACAAATATTCAAATTTAATCCTATTATTAAACAAAAATTATTTCCCAAATTACATCAATTTTTAACTTTTTAGAGTTTTTAGATAAATTTCTTTCTACTTTTTGTGAGTTCGCTACTTAATGATTTGTTGAGGAATTAGGCCACGAAGATTGGTGGATTTTAATGTGCGTGTGTGATCGGAGGGCGGCTCGAAATCGGGAGCCAAGAGATTTGCCCGCAGTGACACCATTCCTCATGTGATCTTTAGTAAGGCGCCTTTGTTCTCAAAGTTTGGCGAGGGTGGCCTAGAACAACCTTTGCTGCGTTCATCCCGCTCTATTAAAACCCAAGAACGCTTGAAATTTTTGTTTGATGCAATTAATCAGTCTACTTGGGCTGCAGAAAAAGGCAAAATAACCGAAGCAAAAATCCCGAACTGATTGTAATTTTTATAAATTATTTAAATATAATCACTAAAAAAAATTTAAATTTTCCTATTTCAACCTTTCAAAATCTTCCAACCGAATTTGAACTTGACTGTTGAAACGTTCTAGAAATCGAAAGTTTACCATTTAGCAAGCCGCCCTCTGGCGGTGGCCGCCGCCGTTTCGGCTTTTGCAATATCCGCAACAACTTTTCTCGAACAACAGGCCGACGCGAATTCTTGGCACAGCCGCCTTTGTCATGTGACACACAAGAGAATTATTGTCACGAGAACCAAAGTTTCACCCGCTTTTTCACGCGCGACTCTCGCAGAAAAATAAAAGCTCACTTGTCGGGGAAATTAGTATATCCACCTGATTGTTCTACTTTTTAATTTTAAAGCAAAATTCTTCTGCGCCAAATACAGAAACAAAGAAACTTACATTTGGTCTACTCTGATCTTGTCTCCCTGCATCTTTCCAACAATGGATCCCTTTTTGCTGTTCTTCACCCATCCGCCGATTCCGAGCTGCGTGCACATGTCCCGGCAGTATTTTGTGAAGTAAACACCTGCAAATTTTAAACACACAAGAAATGTTGAATCAGAAATATCAAATTAAGATTAGGTTAAAAAAAATATTTTTAAGGCTGCAAATGACAAATTACTGCAATCAGTGTAATTTGTCCTTTTTTAAATTTAATTAATGGTCAATGAGTAAATAATACAATAATTTCATAGTTTTGCAATTTTAGCATGGGTGAATTATTTTAATTGAATTGGTTTTATTATTGAATAATTTAAAATTACTTATGAACTAATTTAACTAACCCAATAAAATTTTCTCACTTTTTAAAGAAAGCGAGGAACTAGTTATTATATTTTTAGCAAAGAAAAAGAAAAAAAATTTTTTTTTTATCAACTTTTTAATTATTTAAATAAGTCGTTTTTCTGTAAACAACGCTATTTAATGAGAGTGCAGTTTCTATTCAGAGGCAGACAAGTCAGTTAGTTTGTTGCAAGCATAATGAATGACGCGATCGTTTAATTTTGTTGTTCTGCTCGAGAGTGCTGCGCCAATCGTCCTCTCTCACTCTTTTACTATAAGAATGCAGACAGACTGCAATGATTGCCTCAATTACCGGCGCTGACTGAGTGAAATTTATCCGAGCGTTTGCCAAAATTTGTGTGAAATTACTCTTGACTGTTGTTTATAACAATGCCCAATTGACTGCGTGTGTTACTTCATGGGATTTTCCGAAACTCGTGCTGCCAAAAAGCAACAAGTAGTCTATTAAAGAGATATAATGTGGGTGTTGGGTTCTTGGTATTATTTCATTATTTAAAAAAGCAAATTAGGGGATAAAATCCAAGTTTCATTTGTTGAAGTAATAAGACAAAATTTGTGTACTCTGTGCATTTGTTAGGCTAAATCTGATTTTAATCTGGGCTGCTAGAAACTTCTGACCTTGCTTTTTAGCTAGAAATATTTAAATTAAAAACTTCCTATAATTTAACCGAATTTAATATTCTTTAATTCCGCTTCATGTTTTTCCATTTCATTGCAGTAAAAATGTAATATATTATAAATCACAATTTAATATACCCATTTGATACCGTCGAGCTCATTTGAAGACAAAAGTTTATTAAACGTAAAATGAAATGCTACATTTTAATATGAATTTTTACTAGTTTTCCACCAATTATTTTTCTCAATATTCCCCTGAATTTTATAATGAATTAAAATTTATCTCATACGTAAAGTATCAAATGTATTTGGTCAGTTTTATTATGAAAAATAGATTTTGTCGAATATTTACTCGACTAACCTTGGACTTGTCCGAAGACTTCAAACTCGACAGACACGATGGCCGTGGCATTGGCCTGCTGGATCAGGTTGTCCGTAGCGCCCATTTGCCTGAGGTAAACCGACTCCTGCTGATAGATGGTTTGCTGCTGTTGCGACCACAGCGTCTGAGTGAACACTGCCATTCTTTTTTCGGGGCCTCCTCAAGTTTAGCGGCTATTTCAGGCGGCGCCGGCCGATTTTGTTTGCTGCTCTGTCCGCGCCGACCACTGCTTTTATAACCACTCGGTGGCGCAATTTTTGCATCTCGACGCTTGATTCACTTACAAGCAAGACAAGTACTTGCTGTTTGCCGCGCCCAGTCGAGGTGTTATTATGACGACGAGTCCTTGAACCAGATCAAGCAAACCTTGAGTGCCGACCTCAAGGATTCGACAACCCTTGCGAAATTGCAATTTGGCGCGTTTGATTGATTCCCTATTTATAAATTTCATTCGCACATCATTGAGTAATCGAATTAACTAAATTAATTACTCATGATTTTATTAAATTGAAATATATATTTATTGCAGATATTTTTTAAATTTCCTGCATATTCTATTTTGATACTCTCTTCTAGAATCTCATTCTTTATTTTTTCTAAATTATATAATTAGGCAAGAATTTCTAGAAAATCTTGAAGTAAAAAATAAAACTTAAATAGTGGCTTACTTTACACTGATCCATTATTTGGAATGTAGAAAAAAATATTAGCGAAGAAGTAAAAATAATTTTTGTTATCCTATTCTATTTTATCACGCTCTTTCTCACAATTAAATTGTATGTGCCACCCGTACCGTAAACAAAGTTGAGACTCTCAATGGCTAATTAAAATTTCACAAAGTGCTTGAGCAAAAATCAGAAATAAACACTCTCGCTCTGTTTGCTCATTCTTTTGCGAGACGAATCGAGCGCCTGCTGAATCAGGAGTTATGCAACCTGCAGGCCTTCTCCGAGTTGCGGAACTGTATAAAGAAAAGAGTTGTGAGGAAACACTTTTATAAATTTTTGATGCTTTAAATTAAATTATTTCAATCGTTCAGCGACTATTATGTACAATTATCTCATTAAGAAGGAGACTTATTAAAATCAAATGAATCAAGAATTTTATTGGAAAAATAAGAAAATTTAATTAGTTTTTTTTATGAGAGATTACAATTTATTTGATTAAATTTTATAATGATTCCATCAGGCTCTGGAGTTGAAATCTCACTTTAGTCATTTTTGGCCTTTGCTTCTTGACGATGTCCTTGCAAAATCATAAACGTCATGTTTCCGGAGTGACACAGCGAAATTAGATCTCAGCCACCAAATTAACTTATTTGCACTTGGGCCAAAAAAATTAATTGACCCTGAATTTTGCCAAATTCTGACGTAGCGGATATCACGGTAAAGTCAAGGCGCGGGTCGTGGGTGTGAACTAATCATAGGAAGTGCAAGTGCTCGATTGACAGCCTGGTGAGCAGGATGAGCCTGATTGTGGGCCAATTGTGTGTTGCCGGTCAGTTCTGTGATTGCCGATCGCAAATGTCCATCTTAATCACGCCCAGCCCGACCAGCAACTCTCATTTCCAGACTCGCTCAACGAGAAAAAGAGTTGCGCTTCACACGAGTTTGAAAATAACTTCTTAATTTTCAAATAAATAAAATTAAATGGAACTCGCGCTGTTAATTAATTTTTTTGGCACGGCTTGCATCCTACCATAATTTAAAACAGTACCAGAAAACTAGCTCTAATTGAAACTTTGACATTGAAAGCAAGATTTCCGCTTGAGAAAAAAGTCGGCGGCGGCCAGGCACGTGAAGTTGACACCCAAAATTAAGCGAAGCCGCTCATTTACTCACTGATCGATAGCTTTTTACTTCTCTTGCGTCAGACTCACCTGCGTACGTCTCGTTTGCTGCCCACACCCGCGCTGACAAACGAGCGGTCGTTCGCCCAGAATAGTGTCTCCGGAATCGTCTAAGCGTGAACTTGACTCGCCTAAAATATCACCAGCTTTGAAATTTGTTTATGTACTTGTCCCTTCTTGTGAAAACTTTATTGTCAATATTCGTTTTTTGCTTCTTTAATTTTCTCCTTGGTTTCACGGTTGTTGCCCCTTTGTTTTCAAATGGGATAGAAGTGCCTTTGGCATGGAGCCACACTCGTCTTCATTCTTAAGAAACGTTGGATTTTAAAGGATCAACGTGACCTTCCCTATGAAACTATTGTTTAGCAAATTCGTAATATACATTTAAACTTTAAATAATAAATTCATATAACGTAATTCCTTTGTGGTAAAATTTAAAAAAAAAAAATTGAAACAAAATTTGCTTAATATTTATGTATTTGTTCTTAAGAAAATATGTTTTATTATTTAAAATTTGATTGCAATAATTGAAGTCATATTGTTGCAGTAAAAATTGACACATGAAAAGTTAACCCAACAATGATAATATAGATTCTACATCGTTCCACTTGATTTTTTTTTTAACAATCGAAATCTAGGAGAGTAAATAATTATTTTGATTGTTGAAGCTATTTTAAAAACTTCAACCGTTTTGTCCGGCATCGAAATTCAAAATTCTTGAATCTCTCTTTTCCATGAACGATTCGGAACGAAAGAAGCAAATCGCAGAGAAACTTTCTCAGGTAGCGGCTGCGGTTTCTGACCTCAACCTGACCATCCAGCAAGAGGTCGCCAGGACCAACGGCTCCTTTGCTACCTCGTCGATCAAATTGTGTTCTCAGGGCACATCGAGGTCTCCATCTGCGTCCTCGACGCCCTTCAGACCTCCACCCACCGCTCCTCCGACGTCTGGTTGGAGGCCCTTGGGAGAGTCTTGGTCCTTCGACTCCCCTTTGGGTGGCCCTGCAAACCCATCTGATGGCATCCAGCCCATCGTAGGAGGCCAGTTGAACCCTCGCCTGGTGCCCAAAGATTTTAACACAGCCACACCCTTCATTGAGTCGAGGTTCTATTGTGGGCCAATGGACGAGGTGCCACCCTCCTTTTTTGAAAGAAGCGCCGCAGACCTCGGCAGGAATTTTTCCTCGGAGAACCGAAAACTCTACGAGCAACGGCAGACAGACTCGTTTGACGTGCCTCGGCACGTGAAAGAACTCCAAAAGCAGAAACAAGAGATTGCAGAAAACTTGGAGCCTCGCAAGCTGAGCTTCAAGGACTGCGACCACAGAACTTCCGACTACGCTCAAAAGCCGTCTGGTGAAGATAAGGCCCCTGAGGTGCTGATCCGAAAGGCGTCGTCGGAAGAAAGGGCTGCTTCGATTGAGTCCATCAATTCCTTCAAATCGGCTGAAGAAATTCCAACAGACACTAAACCCAGCATATCGCTGCTGACGCCGCTTCAGGAACTGTTCTCCGAGCAAGAAAAAATAGAGGGGGTTCCTCTTATTAGTCGGCCGTTGACCAAGGAGGACTTTATAGTGGCTACGCTTAGAGAAATATTGGAGAAGTTGGACGTGATTGAGAAGAAATTGGATAGGAACAGCATCAATTAATAAAATCTCAAGAATCTCATCTAAATATTTATTTTTTCCCGCATACATTTTTATTTAAAATATAAACTGCATGCAAAGAAATTTTGCTAAAAGTTAACGACGAGTCCACCTCTGGCATCAAGTATCACATCACTCAGTATAATTGGGTCGCTAAAATTATCGTGAATTAGTAAACTTCAGGAGAATGGAAAATATTTTTTACTTTGCTGTGGTCGTTAATCCCAAGGTACTAAGATAGACCAGACCGATTTCAGGGAGTTGAGGGAACGCCGCCCTGACGTTGACACGAACTTCAATGTCATTGGGGTTAACAATGACAAGATATTTATCGTCAGCTTGGATTTCTCTGGTAAAAGCAAAGACGTCATTATTGATTGATTTGTACTCCAAGGACCCAAATCGAATTGTGTTCGACTTTCTTGCTTCCGCCAAACGCTGGTAGAATGTAAATTCAGTCCTGATAGAAGACATTTGGTCCTCTAAATTAAGATTTACATAGTTGGGATTGACCGGCAGCCAACTTGTTGAACCAGTTGTAAAACCTTTGTTTAAATATTTGATAAAATTAAAAAAAAAACTTATTTTAATGGTGTACCAGCTAAATTTTGACTGTTCCATTGGAAAGGCGTTCTTGCAGGGTCTCTAGAATACTTCTGGTACAAATCAGGTCCTGCATTGCAGCCCTGAGGATCCCGAGTTTCTTGCCAAGAAACAAATGTGTTTTCCATGTTGATTTCCTCGCCATAATAAGTAACAGATACTCCAGGCAAAAGCATTCTGATCATGTAGAGAGAAAGAGCAAACTCGCCATCATCGATGCCAAAACGAGACCTGGTTCTCGGCAGGTCGTGATTTCCAGTCTAAAATCAACGAAATAAATAGTCAGGCTCATTTATTTTCAAATATTATTGAATCACTTACAACCCAGTTGGCAACTTTACCAGTCGGCATATCAAGCAGCCACTTATCAAGTGCGGCCTTGATATCTATTGCGAATGTCTCAGCTGGCAAGTCATAAATCAAATTGAAGTTGAAAGGAAAATCCATAATTGGGTCTTGCTCAGTCCCATAATAACTCATGGTGAAATTATGAAGATTTGATGGTTCGCTCATCAGAACACTAAAATTTAAAAATAGAAATTTCTTAAATTTTACAATTATTATTTTAAACAATAAAAATTACATGACTCTTCCAGTTTCACTTTGGTATTGATCGATGACCTGGCGGAATTCCCTAAGAATATCCAAAGTTTCGGGCTGGTTCATGGTGTAAATGTGATTGAGCTGACAGAACTGGTTTTCTGGGCAGGAAGGGTCGTTAGTGAGAGGCTCGTCAAGAAAATCGATTTGCTCAATTATGTGAGGAGGAGCGTCAATGCGGAAACCATCAACGCCGTTGTCCAACCAATATCTCAAAATATTCTTTCACGAGATTAGCTTTTATTTGAATTTTTAAATTTTCTCCTACCTTCATTTCTTGCAAAACAAGAGGGTTGCGGAAGTCCAAATCTGGCTGACCAACGGTAAATTGATGCAAGTAAAATTGTTGTCTCTGATCGTTCCATTGCCATGCTGATCCAGCAAATGCGCTCAGCTGCGAAGTTAATTTAACGTTTAAAAAAGCAGTTTTAAACTATCACATATTTTAACTTAATACCCAATTGTTTGGAGGGATTTGCGTTCCATTTGCATCAAGACCAAGTGAGTCCTTCCAGATATAGTAATTTGTGTATGGGTCTTCTCGATTGACTGATCTAATGAACCAATCGTGCTCGTCGCTGGTATGGTTTGGAACAAAATCCATTACCAATTTCAGGCCTTGAGAATTTTTAAAAATTTCAATGCATCTTTTAGAAATAAATTTAGATCTCTCTAACCTGCAGCTTTGAGAGCATTGGAAAGCTCAAGAAAGTCCTCCCAGGTTCCAAAAATGGGGTCAATAGATAAATAATCAGATATATCATAACCAAAATCTTTCATTGGTGATTTGTAAATCGGGGAAAGCCAAACGCAGTCAATACCTGACTGAATGAAATGCGGAATTGACTCGGTGATGCCCTTGATGTCTCCGACACCGTCGCCATTTGTGTCCTTCAAAGATCGCGGATAGACTTGATACAAAGTGGCCGTACTCCACCACTTAATGGTTTGACCGTTGACGGCCAATATACCCAGACACAAAACTGCAAACCTAATTTTACGTTTTAAAAACTGATCTTATTTTTAAAAAGTGCCTCTGATTTACCTGAAAAACATCTCGAGAATTGGGAGAAATCTCCTAGGGTTCCTTTCTTTATATATGAATAGCGATTACATAAAAGCAAAAGATTAGATTATTTTAATTGATAAACGGCAAACAAACCTCTCCGTGCTCACAGAACGTGATAACAAAAAAGTAGTGAAATTCAGAAATTAATTGTAAAGTACTTTTTATTAGCATTTAATAAAACAACTGTTACAGCGTAAAAGTAATCACAATACCACCCCTTGGAGGCAAATTTATCGCATTCAGATTTATAACGTCACTGAAAAACAAATTAATATTTTATATTAAATTTCATTAATTTTATTTTGATGATAATAAAATACCCAATTTCTTGATTTGATGAAATTGTAGACGTATAAACTGTTCCTACAGTAGGCAACTGCGGAAACTGCTCATTTGCATTTGCCTGGTCTTCAGCATATCCCGTGTTAACCACAACCAAATAATTCAAAGTGGCCGCCGGTGCCTCCCTCACAAAGGCAAAAACGTTTTCAGTCAAAACGCGATGTTCGAAAGAACCAGTTATAATGGCCTCTGTTTTTCTAGCAGCAGTGAGCGCCTGGAAAATTTTGAAGGGGCTTCTGATCCTATTGGGTAACTTCTGATCCTCCAAATTTGTATACAAATAGTTTTCATTCACGGGTAGCCACGTAGAATTTCCAGTTGTAAACCCTACAATTTTTAATGTGCAAATCTTCAATTAAGTTTTAAAAATTTAAACCTGCAAAGGTTTGATTATTCCATTGGAACGGAGTTCTTTCAGGGTCCCTTGAAAATCTCTGATAATATTCAGGCCCCGCATTGCAACCTTGAGGGTCTTGAGTGTCTGCCCAGGAAACAAAAGTGTTGTCCATATTTATCTCCTCGCCATAATAGGTAATGGAGATGCCTGGGAGCAGAAGGTTCACCATGCTGAGGGCCATGGCAAATTCCTCGCCCTGCCTCTCTCTGTTTCTAGGCTGGTCATGGTTGCCCATCTTTTTTAAATTGAATTTAAAACAAATATTTACTCGCATTTGAGAACAAAATAATATAAATTACCACCCAATTAGCCGTGGCGTGCGCAGGCATATTATCGATCCAATTGTCTATGGCGTATTTTAAAGTGGAGGCGTTTGTTTGGTTATTTATGTCAAATACGAAATTGACATTAAAAGGAAAATCCATCAGTGGGTCATCAGGAGTACCATAAAAAGACATCGTGTCAACAATATTGTTTGTGGGCTCGCTCATTATCACCCTTATTTAAATAATTATTAATTTTTCTAAAGGTATTTGATAAAAATAGGGTACTTTTTCTCGCCAGACGCAACTTCATATTCTTCTATCACTTTTCTGAACTCTCGAAGTACGTCCAGCGTTTCAGGCTGGTTCATTGTATAGATGTGCTGCAATTGACAGAACTGCATCGGTGGGCAGTTGGGGTCGTTTGTGGGAGGCTCGTCCAGGAAGTCAATGTGCTCGACAATGTGTCCTGGGGCGTCTACGCGGAAACCGTCCATTCCATTCTCCAGCCAAAAGCGCAAAACATTCTAATTTAATTAATTTCTTATTTAATTGAAAAAAGAAAAAATGAAAATAAAAAAAATATGCCTTCATTTCCTCTATAACTAAAGGATTGCGGTAGTCCAAGTCTGGCTGCGCCACCGTAAACTGATGCAAGTAAAATTGCTGCCGTTGTTCGTTCCATTCCCACGTAGAACCAGCAAAAGCACTTATCTTTTTGAAAATTATTAAACCTTTTTTAAATCAAATATTTATTTATTTTACCCAGTTGTTTGGAGGAATTTGCGTGCCATTTTGGTCTATCCCTAATGAGTCCCTCCAAATGTAATAATCTGTGTATGGATCTTCCCTATTGATTGATTTTAAAAACCAGTCATGCTTGTCACTCGTGTGATTTGGCACAATGTCCATGACCAGTCGCAAACCTTTTTTCGATCTTTATTAAATTCTTCTGTTAATAATTGCACTTTTTGCCTGCTTCTTTAATTACTCTGGCTAGTTCAAGAAAGTCGTCCCAAGTGCCGAAAATTGGATCAATCGATAAAAAGTCAGAAATGTCATAGCCAAAGTCTTTCATGGGTGATTTGTATATCGGCGAAAGCCAAACGCAGTCAATTCCGGCGTCAATCAAGTGTGGAATCGACTCAGTTATGCCTGGCATTACCAATTATTTTAATTTTTTAGCTCTAAAAATGGCATAATAACCTTTAATGTCGCCAACACCATCGCCGTTTGTGTCCTTTAGAGAACGTGGATAAACTTGATAGAGGGTAGCCGTCGGCCACCACTCGTCAGTTTGGCCATTTACTAGTAAAATTACTGCGAGTGGCGATAAAAGCCTTTCGTTTATTTGAATTATTTTTTGTTATTAATAATTTTAATGTTTAGAAATGTTAAGGTTTTTACCTGTAAAGCATGATAATGGCCGTCTAAATAAGAATTAAAGAAGAAAATTCTCATGTAAGTGACAATATACCAGGCGATAAGATATACATATGTTTGTGAAGATTGCCTATTTTAATCAAACTTTCAATTTTATCATTTGGTAACCAAGGTCACAGTCGAAAATCTTTTTTGAAAATTTAGCAAAGACTATAGATAATTTCTATTTATTACTATTTATTTATTCCTTTGATATTGTAAAATTATTTTAAATTTTGTTAATCTCATATCTCATTATTTTGTATAAATATCGTAGTTAGTGAATCAACCAGGTTAAAATTATTTTTCATGATGGTCAAATATAATAATATATTGCAATTCAGAATACTTGCATAGGCGCAGGCTGATATCCGCAGCTGTCCATCTTCATTCAACATGATGCTAACAAGCTTGAATATTTGTTTGAAGAAGTTGACACTCGAGGAGATGATCATGGAAATGAAGAAAATCGGGCGTGTCCTCGTTGCAAAAATTATTCAAAAACGAAACGGCTCGCTAAAAAATAACTATTCAAATGCATGCATTATAATCTTTTTTTAGTTTTTCTTTTTAATTTTAATCACTTTTAATCAAATAAATTTTTTTTAAGAGAATATTTAATATAACTTCATTATGTGATGTTTTATGGGCGTTATTTTGTTTTAATTTAGAGAGAAGAATTATTCTTAGCTACTCTGATTCAAAAAATCAAGCTGGGATCAAGCTGAATTAAATTTTAATCAAACGTCATCATAAATGCAATCAGCATTAGTGCCAAAAAGCACATAGACGGTCGCTAATTAAATTACAAGTCGGGCCGACGTGTGGTGGCTCCATATGTGCGTCATCTGGCGAACAAGGGGCCAAGCAGCACCAACCTAGTCTCAGTCGCTGCGGATGCTGCTAATTGGCCGCTCAGCGAGGGGATAAACACGAAACGTGTTTTGCTGACTGCCTCGCTGCCAGCCCAGCCGTGGGTACGGCCGCAGTCGGTGGCCCCAGGGTCCGCTGGCCAGCCCCAGAGGAACTCGCACCCCGCTGGTCCACTTCCCGAGGATGTGCCACCCGCAGGTGGCCGCCAAAGATCCCCCGCATCCGATTAAACTCGGAATGAATCAAAGCTCAAAATAAAATTGAAACGAGTTTATGTGAAAAATTTAACAATTTTATTTAAATGGCACGTGTAAACATAAAATAATTAAGTTAAAATGTGTAAAAGTTGCAGGCGCGTATTTTCTTTTAAACTTGCAACGATTCGTTTTCCATTTCCGACTTTTGCGCCACAAGAAATGGAAATGGATGATTTTTCTCTTAAATTACGAAGGCCAGCTCGTGAACACACACGTGATAAATCTTCAGCAATGATAAAAGTAACCACAAAATCACTCGCATTCTCTGAACTCGATGATGATTTTGCTGCGAGACTAGGGCCAACCGAAATAACTATTCCACTATGAAAAAAATGCAACTTCGTTTGATAATGCACCCAAAATGCTCCTGAGTGAGAGATTATTGCGTGCGCGTATACGTCAATAGATTTGCACCCGAGCGCGAAACGTTCTTTTTTCTACTTCGGATGCCGCCGGTGCTTCCGAAAGAAATCACCGCGCGTTCTCTTGGGCAGTCTCACTGTCTCTTGGTTTGAAACTCTCACAGTATCGTGTCCCGGAGCGTGTGAGTCATCAAGGGCACATGTACGTGGTGATTCTCGAGCCCCGGACCAGCGCCTGGTGGCCCCCGCACATCCATATCCTTGCGCTTCTCTGTTCCCGAGTGACCCGAGTGGCCTTGAACTTGTGCAGCCGCCTGTCGTTTCCTCTTTTCCTGAAACAATATTTAAAGTTTTTTCTTCAATACGTTCCATCATTATTTAATATTGCTTTCTTTTCTAATTGAATCATTTGAAACAGTGAATCCAAATAAACAGCATTTAATTATCCTGGAGGCACAGACATTAAACGCATTAAACATTGGAAAAATTGACTATTTATATTTTTTTTCTCAATACATAATGTAAGATAATTTATAATTATGGATTCTATTATATTTGTTTAATTGATTATTTTCATAATCATACATTTTTTAATTTCAATTAATTCTTGCACTTACTGGCAGGTGACAGAATGATGAACATGAAACGCAGAGAGTTAAAATTAAGTAATAATTGGTATATCATAAGGCATCAAGGACCTTAAAATTTTATAAGGAAATTTAAATATACGGATCGGCTAACACAAATATTTCAGCACTTTATCAAATAATCACCCAAATTTTTAACTGAATTTTATTCACAATTTATTATTTTATTATTATTATTAAATTTAAAAACAGGAACTAATTAAAAAAATATTTTTTTGTAGAAAAAGTTAAATATTAATACATTTAACTTTAAATTCATGTAAATTAATATGTTCTTACTTTGTAATGGTATCTGAGGTAGTTGACCTGGAAGACAACGCACTGGCCACCCTCCTCTTCGCCATCAATGTAAACGCCCCGCACCAGCAAAGAGTTGCCGCAATTCAAAATCATGAGCACAATTAGACACACCCAGTGGGTCACCCAAAAGCTCACGAGCGGCGTCTCTGCAAAATTAACAAACAATGTTTCAGTCAAATGCTCTTTGACATTGTCGATTGCAATCATTTCAAATTAGGATATAAAAAACCCTGAATGGAGGCTCGCAGTCGGTGGTCACTTACAGTAAACGACAAACGCTTTTTATACCGATTGTCTCGCACCGAGAGTCTTAAGTTACGGTCTCTCGATGCGACAAATGCAAATTAGTGCATCGTGGGAGATGGAGCAGAAATCAATTTTCTTCCTCTCAAGCTGGTAATCCGATCTACGGCCGCTACGTGGGACACGTACGGCAACTTCCTTTTTTCAAGATGCGCGAGGCAATTTCAATCAGGAGCTCGCTGCAGATAAATTCTATTTCTATTATCCAACAGGATTACTTGTCTATTCGAGGCCGAACAGCTTAAAGTTCCTTTTATCTAACGTGACATTTGTTAATTAATTGTGCTCATGGGAGCTGTAATATGAATTAATACGTTCTTCAAATGAAAATTTCATTTAAAAAACTCAATTTAAAATTTTACTAAATTTTTTTGTCTCGGTTTTTTTTAAAGATCCTTTTTAATAAAATAAAAAATTGCACAAACCGTTTTTAACTTTATTTTGAAAGTTCTGTAATTTTAATTGATTTAAAAAATAATATTTAAAACGCTTCCAATTACCTCAATCAAACTAAAATATTGAATGGCAGTGATGCAAGCGGCAAACAAGAAAACAATAACAACTTGGCATGGCATTATTCAATTATCAGGGGCCGTCGAGAGGGTCAAGAGTGCGCGCTCGTCTAATTCATTTAGATTGGCATTATAGGTTGTGGCGGGGTCGTAAGTCAATCTCGTTCGCTCGGCTGGTCACTCTTGTCAAGGAAGGCAACTCGAAAGGGCCGGAAGGAGGTGATTAGTGGATTAGCCGGCAATTTTGGACAGACTTTTCGTGTTTAGATTCACGTGGGTTGTGCAAAACTTGCATAAAGACAATGATATAGGGACCGTCGGTCAGAATCGACTGAAGTGAGGCGCCACTTAATTTAACTCTGACCTCTGCTCGATCAAATTCATTTCCCGTTCTTATTAAGTGAACCTATCATTTAAGAATTTCGACATTCTAATGGTAAAGAAAAAAAACTAAAAATATTTAAAAGGTACCAAAATTATTGAATAAATTTTACCTGGCAAAAGGTAGATGTCGAGCAGGTTCCAAATCCCTCTCCACAAGTTGACTGTACCGCAAAAACAGAGAAATTGGTAAAGATCGGCCACGATGAGACGTGGTCCTCCTGAAAGTTTGTCGCACGCTATCCTTGCCGGAACTTGCAAGGCAAAGCCCACAACGGTCACGCCGTACCCGATCGCCTGAAATCAGAAAGATTTTTTTGTAATAGTAATATTTTATCCTTTTTTCATAAAATAAATAAAACCTTGAGAATTGCAGTTGCGTATTTTATTCAAGACCACTATTACGCGTTTTGATTGATGACTTTATAAACGCGACTGCCCACTTGGCAGATCCGCGTGTTTATATTACATCCGTGCAACATGCCTTAAAAGGGAGCTCAACATTTGCATGCTACAAACATCAGGCGCAATTCTAATTGCGTACTTTTCCACGTTCGCACCACGCAAAAAGGTATTTATTGATTGATAATAAGATTATGACTGAATTAATGGGAATTAATTATTTATATATTCAACTCTAATTTATGGATTATGGAGTCATTGATTAAAATAATTAATTAATAAATCGTTCAAATATTTGGCCTTGAAAAGTACATACCAGTGAGAGCCAGGCGGAAGTGTTGGGATCTTCGGGCATCAAAATGATGTCGAGGATGCCCCACGTGCCTCTCCACACAATAACCACTAGTGACCCAATGACGAAAACAGAAAAGACGCAATCTAACGTGTGTAGGGCTGGGTCCTTAGATCCCTGAAAACAAAAAATGTTTTTTGTAGATTTGTGCTTATAGAGGCAGATTAAATAATTAACTATCTGCATGAGTAACAAAAATACGTGGTACAAAGCAGCATTTTACAAGCAAGAGATGGTGTTGGATAATAATTAATAACATCTAAATGAAATAACTAGTGAAACTTGAAGTTAAGCTCGTCTATAATTTTTTTTATTAATGTTTTTCATAGCTGAAAAAATTGTTTAAGTGTGAACGGAATTAATTTTTGAGGTTTTTTTAATTATAAATTTTTAAATTTGAAGTCAAAATCCCTTTCAATGCAAAAAGAAAGTTTAATTTATCGCTTTTATTTTAAATGAACGAGTTTATTTTTGCAAATTATTCACCATAATATGATCAAGCTTAAAATAAATAAAACCGTTTGCTTTTGCAATTAATTTTTTGTCTTAATATAATAATAATTTTGACCTACACAGCAAAGATTCGTCAGAACTCAAATATTTCTTTTAACAATACCGACCTTATTTAATGCTTATTTTCTAAACAAGGCATATTTCGCCAATTTAAAATTATCCCTTTAAATTGAGATTATTTTATTTTCTTGCGATTTCCAGTATTAAAGAAACGGTTTTAAGCGTAAAACATTTTAAGTCAACAAATTTTAAACCGGGTAACATTTTTTTATTTGTAACAATTGCGGACTCACAGGCGACACCCTGAACATGGTCGGGAACTGGAAGTATCCAGGTCTTGCGTCGATAACGATGGCGAAGGGCGGCGCGGCGATGTTACGCAGCGTCCGCATGACGGCGAGCGCGATGATGGCGGCCGTGGTGGTGACCATCAGGGCGCTGAGGTCGCTGCCCGTGTAGTGCTCCAGCGTCTGCCACACGCCGCGCCAGCAGTTGACGCACGCGAAGCTGAAGAAGGCCGTGTAGAGGCGCGACACCAGCAGCCACGCGACGCAATTCCACTTGGCCACGTGGCGCTGCAAGGGCCCCTGCACGAAGTTGAACACCAGGTGCGACACGCACCCGATGCATAACGAGATCCATGCGCTCAGCGTCGGGTCCTGCGCACGCAAACGATCGAGTTATACGCGACCCGTTCAAAGTTTAGCCCCGATGTAAAGCCATTTTCGCTTAATTGCGAGCGTTCAATTCTCCATTATTCAATAATTAGGATGCTAATTTTTTCAAAATTTAAATTTGATTGTATATTTTATAAAAATTATTCAATTTATTTCTAGATGCATTTTTGTCAGATTCATATTAAGTACATTGGTTTGTTATGCGTTGATTTAGCTTGAGAAACTAAAAAAAAAACTTATAAAATTTCATGTTAATTATATTTATATAATTTCATACATATTACATTTGTTTTTAGATTTTTAAATTGTAAATAACCATATTTTTCCCCCTCAAAATTGTTTATATTAATTTTCAAATTATTTTTAATATTATATTTATCCACTCCTCAAAATAACATAAGAAATGCATGTTTCTAAGTATTTTATTTCTCAAAATTGTATTAATGTTTCATCAAGACCACCTTTAGCAATAGTTAATGTTGCTAAAGCTATCTCCGTCACATTTACCCCCGAGAAAAAATTGTACTGGAATGTGAATTTTAAATTTTTTAATATAATAGTTCAGAGTGAAATTCAATCTAAAAATTCTTGAGAATATTGGTCGCATTGCACAAACTACAAACGCTCAGCGAAAACGGCTTTTTAAGGAGCAATGCATTGTTTATCTACACCATGACGTCGGGCATTTCATCGTCACCAATCTTATAACAATGTCAATATACACAAAAAATCGATCAATCATTTTAACAAAAATTGACAAAATAATACTCTTTCATAAAAATCATCAGCTTTATATTAAGAAAAACGTTTTGAATTTTTCAAAAGCATCAATAACCATTTTAACGCGGGAATTATGAAAGCTTTTTTTATCTATCTGTGATTTTTAAAGTGGATTCTTATCAGCCGCACATTCACAAGAAGTTTAATTTTTGCATCTAGCTGATTTCTTAATTTCACTGATAAAGACAATGCCAGACAATCACGGCGCAGATTTAAGAAGGCTAAAGTTCGTTGGCTTTTGTGAGGTGACTTTTGAGTTTATTTTTATAGCACGTGTCATTGAATGCAGAAAAACACTGCGTATTTGTATTATTAATCGGGGACTCATAATAAAATCCATTTTTGAAATGGGCTTTTCCATGAATACTCATTTTCACCTTGAATTTATTGAGTACAATTAAAACTGCAGTCAGATGTTAGTAAAAATCAGTTTTTTGCACTGCTAGATGTTATATTTAAACATGAAGAATGATCCGTTTCAAACTAATATTTAAATTTGAATGGGCTAATTTTAAAGAGTAATGAAAATTTAGGAAGCCACAGTTGAATGAAAAATGAATATAAAACTATTTTTTTTACTAAACAATTTGAGACTGAGACTGAAACTTGAAAAGAATTTCTTTGAAACAGTGCACACCATAACTTAAATTTTACCGGATAAAAAATAAATTTAAATAAAAACGAGTAATTCCTGCCAAAAATCTCACATACCTTTTCGGTCCATAAAAAGAATATCAAAGAAAAACTTAAGAAACACTGATCTCACTCAAAAGTCACCACACAAATTTCGCACTTTTCCCTCGGGGGAAGATTCGGGGGTGGAAAAGCACCTGGGGCACAATGTAGTGCTCGGCAAGGGCCCACGTGCCCCGCCAGTAGCCGACGACGGCCGGTCCCACCACCAGACACGAGAAGAGCACGTCGAGCACGGCGCTGGGCCACATCTCACCGGGCCAGCAGCTTTTCATCGCGCATAGATCTGCTCGGTTTTTTATCTACGCTCCTCTGCCCATCACTGCTCTCGCGTTCTGCACTCTGGCTCGCTCATTGCGATGCGCCCGCCGCCGCCACTGCCGCCTCGGATCCCCTCCATTAATTAAGCGGTCGCACTAAATTGAGTAAACGGCCGAGCAAGAAAAAAAAGATGTTGATTGTCTATCTGCCACTAGATGCGCCTTCGCCTTATCGCCAAGTGCCACCCTCGGGTCTAGGCCACCCTTATTTATTTTGATCTTTTTCTCCCTGATAAGACTATTTGGTGAGATGATTAAATTTTTGGAGATCTTTACTGAGAAGGTGATATCGATTTTGAGGGTGTTATTTTTTGCTTTCTTTAGCTGAAGTTCAAAACAGAAATAATAATTTTATTTAAAATTTAAATTTATCCTACTTTTTTAATAAATTTATTAAAATTTTCTCATTAAACTTTAAATTTAGTTATAAAATCGATTTTTATTTATTAATTTTAATTGTTTTATTATTTGAATATTTTTATTTTCGTGTCTGCTTTTATTTTGCAAAGAACTTCCGGTTATCAATGAAAACATGTCTCTGAGAATATATGTTTATTACTTGACCGCTACAATGTTGTCATATACTGCGTTTTTTGTAAGAAGAATTATAGTTATGGATTTTCTAATCTTCCTTTAGGTGCGTTTGAATTTAATTAATAAATATTTTTGACAAACTAAGTTTCCAATTGATGAAAATCAATAACAAAAAAATGTAATAACATAATCATTTAATTTTGCGTATGCAGCAAGGAGCTCAAGCGTGTTGTACAAGTTGCATACCCATTGCAAGTTGTGTGTTTAATGGATCGAACGTCCGCTTAAGTGAACCTAAACTCTGGTTTTCATCGGCACAAATTTTGAATTTAGAAGCTTGATGCATTTTTGTTATTGCTCATTTAAAAAGAAAAAAAATTCATTCGTTAAACTTTTTTACAAAATCCTATTTAACAATTTTTTCCAATTAATAAATGAGGCCGAAATCATAATCAATATAAATTATTTCATTTAAACTTCTTTTTTTAAATTAAGAAATCTTATACTATTATCAAATGTTGATTTTATATTATAATGAATTATATGCAATGTATTTCTTAAATTTTTTATAATCAGCTTAGAAAATTGTATTTACTGGATGATTTATATTGTATAGCTTACAATTAGTGTCGATTGATGCCACAAACTCTCTGGTCGTGACGTTTTTATACTGTTCTGATTTACATAACAAATGAACGGTTAAAAAAAACTTTTCTTATTTTCTGCTAACTGTCATTAGATTGACCTTCGACCTGCATCTTTTTTATCAAAAGAACAACATCAGAACTGATAATAATAAGCGTGCTTGCCGGCGCGAGTTCTCCAGTCTGGCACTAGCGGGGTCGACCTCCTGAACTACGCGCTCTATTAAAAGATCGTTTGAACTTGTAAAACATAACATTATCATTATATTATTATCATTCTTCAACACAAAGGATGTTACATCGGATGGTAATTTGGCCATTTTTTGAAAGCTATTTCCATTCAAAACTGATCTAAAATTGTGTTGATAATTTTCAGCACATTTCTCATTAATTTAAAACAAAGAATTAAATATAATTTTAAATTAATAATTAGATTTATGGCAATACTAATAAGCAAAAGTTGGGTAAAAATCACACATTTACTTACCGAAGTCTTGAATCTGATGGGAAAGTTGAATATAGTGTCCTTCAGGTCAGGCACCATTATGAACGGTGGCCCCGAAAGGTTGCGGACGCTGCGAAGGCGGGCAAGACACGCACCGCCCAGGCCGATGGAAAACAAGCACACTTGGTAAATTTTTCCACAGTGCATGTCCATCAGCTCCCACAAACCCCGCCAAAAGGCAATCGAGGCGAGCGCAAAGAGGAAAATGTAAATCCTCGACAGGACGACCAGACACACGCGTTGACGCAGCGTCTTGGTGCTGCAGGCGGTGCGCGTCAACGGCTGCCGAAGCAAGGCGAAAACTACCCCTGTGCCAGCGCCGAGCACAAGCGACCACCAAAGAAAGCGTTCTTCCTTCTAAAAATTAAAATTAATGCTTAATTAAAATAGTTTAAAAACAAAATTATTTTTATATTTTAAAACTAAAAAAGTGTAATTTATTTTCTCCAAATCAGTGAATTAAATCTATTAATAGGAAAATAAATTAATTTAAATAAAATTTTTTTTATGAATTTTTTCTTTGAGAATTTATACAAATTTATTTAAATGCGTAATTATATCTTTAAAAAAACATTAAATGTGAATATTGGAAATTCAGTAATTTATTTCCTACCTAAACAAAAATAATCCTCCTAAATTATTTTATCAACTGCTATAATGAATAGTAGGATTACAAGTTTAATTCTAGAACAAAACTTTCATTGTCAAGAATGATGCGTTGAGCCGGCAGCAAAGTTTCTGTCAAAAGATACCTTTCAAGCGAGAATAATTAATTGAAAAATAGTCTGCCTGGATTAAGATTTTGAGTGGAGACCAAGGTGCAAATTGATAAGACAAAAAGAAGATTCATTCTTATGTTAAAAAACGCAATATAATTTTTTTCAAACAAAACCACTATTTCGTATTCTTCGTGCCTCACAAAAAATTATTATCTTGAAACAAATTTCACAATTCAAAACTTGAATAATATTATGTAACTAAGTTATAAATTTTTGCTGAATTAAGAAAAATAAAAATAAAATTTGGACAAACCGTCTCAGGTGTGTAGAAAGCCATCAACGACCAGCAACCCCGCCACTGACCCACGACCAACGGGGTGATCACCAACATGGCCCAGGCCATTTCAGCCACCGCGAACAGGGAACACTCGTTTTTGTCCGGCGGTTCGGGCCGGTCTTCGATTTCCCGGGGGCTCCGCGGGCCCACGCGGGGCTTGTTCTTCTTGAGCAGTCCAGGACTGAACTGCACCACTTGCACCTGCAACTCGGCCAGACCCATTTCTCATCTTGCTCCTCGCGGCCGCGCGCCTTTTACTCGACTCTTTTGTTTGCTCCCTTATCACGCAGCGTCTTCTGCTGCCGCTCTTAATGGCTCTCCAATTTAAATATTGAGAGCGCGCGAGCGAGGACGCTGCAGAGAATGGAACTGCCCGCCCGCCCGCCCGCGTGCATATCAATCCTTCCTGCCATTACGTTTTGTTGTCCCTTTCTTTCGCAATGCAACAAGTGTAGTGGTTGTTGCTGAGGCGTTGTTATTTTTCAAACGCAAAGATGCTGCGCGGACAATGTTGACCGCCGTCTCTCAGCTATGCCGGATATCACCGGTTTTGGTTATTGCGAGTAATATTCTCAATTATTATGGCGCGAATATATAGCTATATCGAAGTAATAGGTTATTGCTTGTTAATGCAATTAAATTTTATCAATAGGAGATAAATATTCCTGATTTTTAAAATATAATTTATTGAAATAATATTTTGTAATGAGGAAATATTGCATTGAATCTTCAGTTACCACAGGGGGCTCAATAGAGAAGATTTTTACTCTTAAAATAGTTAATTTCAAAATGGTAATTAATTTATTATAAATTTAATTTTTTTATTGGCAGATAATAAAAAAAAACTTTAGTTAACCTTTTTTTAAATATTAATTTTATTGATAGTAAAAATAATGACTAATATATTATAAAATAAAATAATCCATAAATTCAATTTAAATTAAAATAATGGTTTTATTCTTCAAAATATAAAAGAAATATTAACACGTAATTATTTATGCATGTTTAAAAAATTTGAAATTTACAAAGCTAGAAAAATCAAGTGTTTTTTATACCTTGCCACTTTTTTACTCAATTGCCAACTTATGTGGTTATTGTTTAAATGTAAACACGCATTAACTTTATTCACACGCCTTTGCTTCTTGCCCGGAATCATGCATAAGTTATGTTCTTTCTTATCTCTTGAATGTATTTATTGTGGACTTTGTGACATTGTGTTTGCATACACTCGTGGATAATTATGTTTGCTGAAAATAAAGTGCGAACAATCGACACTGTACTCGTTGTGTGCTTTGCAATTTGCATGATAGATAATAATATTGCTACATTTTCCCTCTACACTTCAATTAATTTTACTTTAGGGAAATTTGAGAAGAAAACATAATACAAAATGTTTCACTAATTTTATTGATGAACAGGTATGTGAAAGACCAGCATCTCTTCACATTAACAATTAAAAATTTAGAGACATACAAATAGAGGCCACGTTGAGAGATTTGAGAATGAAGTTGAAAGAAATTAAACTATACCAATAACGACTTCCACCATTTAGCTGCACAGTTTGCCAATTTTCATTTTATTCGTTATAATTTCAGGTGCAAAAGTTTCAGTGCTTAGTAAAATACATTGTATTTTTCTACGTCCCTGCTATGGTATCCACAAACATGCACTTCTGTAGTTATTTATTTTTATATAATTTTCTTTTTTCCTATCACCAACAATAGTTTATTTTAGACATTGTCAAGGTAATACGATTCTCCCTCATTCTTACAGGCAATCTGATAATTCGTTCATTTTTTTTTACAATTTGATGTGTATGATGTGTATTTCATAATCACTGTGTACAAAGTTTTCTAAACAATCAATCAACTTGAAGTAACGCTCCACCTTGTCAACTGACCTACGATTTTAAAGGTACATTCCGTTGACCAGGAAATCTGCGTCGTGAGCCAAGTTGGATTTTCCACCTCTCCTGAGCCGCCTCCTAACCGCTCGTAGCCGGCAACTGATAAGTGCAGCGAGCAGGGCAGTCACCAAGAGACCTAAAATAAATCAATAATTTAAAGAACTCAAAATTTATTGATTACTTTAACAAACTCAATTTAATAAACCTTACACTTTTAAAATTTATTCATTTTTGGCAAGTTGAAATAACTTTTAGTAAGGCTGAGGGTAAAATGCAAACTAAAATAAATTTACAGAAAAAAAGACTAATATTCATTCAGGACATAATTTGATTCGAAACATGTCAGCGTTTTCAGCCTTTGTAAATGTTAATATTATAATTTTTTGTGTGCTTCAAGTTTGATCGATCACGATGAAAATTATAATCTAACATGACGTTATGCAACTGGCACATCAGCCGTGTGAATGGGATTGCCTACTCTACGCAAAGACTGACCTATGCTCAGAGACAAGTACGCTCCTCCAGGCTTAGCTGCAGTCCCGTCAGGCATTTGAAAGGCTTCCGCGTCTAAATTTTTGTGTCCAAGCGCTTTTTTCTGCGAAGGATTTCCAGTGTAGTGACCATGCTTATGCGCATCTTCTGCAAATAGTGAAAGGTCTTGCACTTTTATAAATAATTTCAATGTCAAGGTTTTACCATAGGGGTGTTCTGTTGTTTTTTCCTGGTCGTTGGTTGATGGGGGTAAAGTCGGAACAGTTGCAGGGATTTGCATAGCAGGCTGTTTTTAGAAAAAAAATATTTATAATTAATTGTAACAATGTGGCAGAAATGCACTCAAAAATTTTTGCATTTTTTTTCATATTTAGTTCAAGAATTAATTTTGAAGATTTTGCTGATATTTTAATGAATTTTAAAATCATCGACAGTTTTTTTATTTACTACTTTGTAATTTTAATTACCTGAGCTGCCTGTGAATCACTCGGGGGTAAATTCTGTGGGGTCAGCGGGTGTTTGTGGAAAACGCCGTGTTGCTGTCCCCCCTCTTCGTAATAATAATCAGACGACTGTGGAGGGTTGTAAGGTACGCGGGGAGCTTCCGGTGGCTGCTGAGCGCGCATCTTCAATTCGTCCTCCATCGAGTGCTGCACCAAATTGTTCCTCGCTGAAAACGAAACGTTTAAAAAAAAAAAAACAATAAAATAGAATTTAAACGCCCTACCATGATCAAGGGTTGGTTCTTGCGGACGCGGCCACTGCACAGGCACCTCTGGCTGGTGGTAATCCGGATTGGGGTAGTAGTTGGGAGCGGCACGTCCGTTGTAACCATTGTTTCTGGGGAAAACGGGCCTGTTAATAATTATTTGAAAATCTGCAATCCTAACAAGGCTCACATATTATCCTGTTCTGCCAACAGACCTGTTGTTTTGTGATTGAAAATATGGCTGTTTTGAGAATCTATATAGAAGGAATTTGTATAAAATAAAAATTTCATTAAAATTCAAAATAAATTACTGTCGTATTCAGAAGCTTCAAAGGGTCCTGGTCGGTGGAAATTGGTTTGGATTTGGCTCGTCTGAGGCACTGCCTGTCTGAATGGAGGTGGTTGTTGCGGCCACTGTTGTTGTCCTCTGTACTCATTTTCACCATAATACTTGTTCGGATCTTGCAGGGGAACCTTTAAATTCATATTTATAGATGAAATAATTGTTTTAAATGATAATTTTATACCTCTTGATTTGGCGCTTGCCCATTTTTCAAGGGATAATTCGGCAATTGCTGCTTTTGAATTTGAGGGGTCCAGGTTTGCTGGCTGAGGGGTCCTTCCAGTTGACCACCGCTGCGAGCAGGGGCAACTGGAGGAATCGGCGGTGGAGGTGGCGGAGGCCTGGTAGTCGGAGGCGTGGGGCAGGCTAGCTCGGGACCTTCGTCACTGCCGTCAGCGCACTGCGGAATGCCGTCGCACGCGTTGTAAATGGCGATGCACTCGCCAGAAGTGCGACACTCAAACTGGTAACGACTGCACCTGCGAACTGCAAAAAGATCATAATGTTAATAACTTTTTTCAATCGCGATAAAAGTAACTTAAGATGGATGAATTTAAAATTCAAAAGATTTCAAAGCAGTCATAGCTAATTTTTAAAAGTGGCAGGCTCATTTTCTTCACTGAGCAACCGTGCGCAAAAATCCCTGCAAAATTAGTAAATACATTCAGTTTGGGCAATATATCTTGTAAATACGACTATCCTTAAAATGAGCATTTTTCTAAATAATGTTTATTGCATTTTTCTACATTCATTAGTAATGCAAATTTTATTAATAAATTTCTAAATTTGTCTTCCTGGAATTTTTAAAAAAATTACAGAATTTAAGTGAATTTTTATTTTGTAAATAAGATAGAAAAAATAAGTCCTCATCAATTAATTTATAAAAGAAACAAGATCAAATCTATTTTGAAGAATCATTTTTGTATACATAATTTTTTTTTTATTTATTTATACAATTAAGTTGTAACTGTCGACCTCTTTTTTTCGTGAGTGTCACATTTGAAACCAATTAAATTACGGTTAATAATTACACCCATTCATTTCGGCTAAACACCCACGCTGAGAGAATGAGACCTGCGTCATGGTAAATTCATCTCCCGCGAACAACTTTTCTCTTGATTCATGCGAAATTTAATGTGGGAAAATTTTTCACGGCACCAATTAATTTGCGAAACACGCTCTACGCGCACTTTGAATTACAAAACTAGATGTAAAATATACAACTGGTCCTTTTTGAACTCTCGAAATGCACGGTGTGAAAATTCGTTTGAAACGAAATTCCGTCCCGAGAAAGCTGCTGATATTTATTCAGCAAAAAGTAGAAGAAGCGCTCCTTAATTATTTTACGAACCAAACACCCACGTGACTACTAATTTGTCGTAACGCAGCGCCTTGTAGATTACACACGTATATAGAAAGTGTTCACCTTGCCATGTTTTGTTCACGGTACGCGCCGTTATTCTTATTGTTATTATTTTCTCGGTGCGGGTTGCGTCAAAATTTCAAAGAGCATGGATTTATTTTTGATCGGGCCAGTGAAAGTGGTCCACATTTGGGTGAAGGGCCGCGCCACGTATGTGCCGCTTGACCTTTGACGCCTCCTTTGCACTTCCTTCATTTTGCATTCTCATTGTTCTTTTTAAGCAATCGAATTTTCCCTTTCATCAATCAAAGTGTTTTAATTCAAAGAGCTTAAACCGTCTTGTAAAAACATAAACATATTTTTTTTATCTTGTTTCTGGCGGATTTTAATCCTCACAGCGTATATTATGAAAGCCCCTCAATCTGATACCAGCGTGGGCGAGTCTGCTGGCTGTGAGCGACATTTCCTCGCAAGGAGCGAAGGTTGAATAAATTATGGAAACTCATCCCAAGCGAAACAAAAGGCCAAAAGTTGCCTAACATTTCCCCAATTTGCATGTTTATCAATTTCGCGCTTAATTTCCTAAATTATTAAGTAGGCAGATCGACCTTACTTTTTTTTTTGCTAATTTAAGTTAAATCTTCTCAAAGCTTGTTGCTTCATATTATATACAAGTTGACCCAAAATAATCCTATATTTGGAGGTTTCAAATGCTTGATAAGTATTATTTACATCAGTTAAATAGCATTTAATTAATTTTTATTCCAAATTTAATTACCAGAGGAAAAAAGATTGAACAATTTTCGTCAAATTTTTACAATTTTTATGTCAAACTTAACATAAAAAATTTCATTTTTTTTTTTTATATCCAAAATAAAATAATTTTTATTTCTTAACATAGAATACCATCAATAAATTTTTAGTTTCAAATATTAAAAGTTAATTGAGATATAAAAATATCACATTTCAAAATTGATTTTGTTCATAGTCGCTGAATTTTCCCAGACTTTTAATTTCATTGTATGCTTAAGTTTCAAATTTTTATTTAAGACAAAAGAGCCTCAGGCGGGGTAGAACGGCGGATAAAAGCTGTAGTGCTCCTTTTGTACGAGACGCTTGGTTGGTGAGCAGGCAAGTGTGAAAACTCTCCATCCGTTCGTCCATCCTCCTGCTTTGGCAATCTCGGAGGATCGACCTTGGCAGGACAAGGACCCTGGTGGGTGGTGCTTTATGAGCGGCGTCAAGTCGCTCATGGATGCAGTCGTTCCTTGAGCGAAAGGCCTCTGACCTCTGGCTTGTTTGCGATTATTATCGGCCGAAATTACTCGCGGGGAGAAAATGATGAGAAATGAGTCATTTCAAAAAATTGCAGAAAGTTTATTACCAGTTCTCGGTCCGATAAGAACAGCAGTTTTGATGTTGTTGAAAAGTAATTAATCGAGCAGCAGTTACTTTAGACGTGGGGCCGATTTGGTGGTATTATAAGAGCAAACAAGTTATTTTTATGATAAAATAAAATTATTGCTGCGATAAAAAATGTGCGCAATTTTTCCAAGGCTGCCAAACTTGCTGATGATTTCCAAAAAATGGAAAGAACATTATAGAATTAAAAATTCTTATAATTATAAGAAAAAAAATTAATTTTTATAATTATTATTTGCAAGCCTCTTAACAATACCTTATTAAGTTGCTTTTAAGAGCTTCATCCTCTAAGAATGGATTTAACCACTGAAAATTATTTGCAAATTTGAACTGCAGTATATTAATAATTTATAGTTAGTCACACTTAAACAAGTATAAGATCTACGTCCTATTCTTTATTAAAATTATTATTGTGCTTGATTATTCTCTTGAATTAAATAAATCTGCAGAAAACATATTCTCGAGTTTTAACACGTATATAATTCTTTCTTATTCCTTTGTTACAGGACGCGGTGTCGCACCCTGCGGGTCCAACCGCCCACCTGACCGTCCACCCCCACTAATCCGCAGGTCAGTGCTCGCAAAGGTCACCCGCTCACGGTGGCCATTCGCCTGCTCATCCGCCGCCCCTCCACCAACGCCGCCGAGGGGCCCCGATCGGTTGGCAGGACTGCGAGCAGCGCGCCGAGCCAAAATCCAGGTCGAGCCGCGAGCACCAAAGGCACTTGGAGCCTCGCGCGACTCAGTCAGGTTGCTCTCAGGTGTTTTTGTGTATCTGACGGAACCGGTCATCACCATACCATGGCGTATAAACTGAGGAGGGCGCCGCTATTCGGCTACGATGGGAGTCTCTGCCTGGGCAATGCCGCCCCTCCGACCTACAAGAAGAGCACCCCTATCAAGGTAGGAGTAAACTTAATTTTTTCATTTTTCCATTCTTTGATAATAAGAAAAAATTAACAAAAGATGAATTTTTTTAAATTTCATTTAAATACTTATTTAAAAGAAAATCTATTATTTTGTTCTGGCATTTTTGACAAAATTTCCTTCCTTATTTTTTTTTTGTCACGGCAGTGGTTGTGGAAAGTGTCGTAATGGTTGGTGCTCAAAAACTATCCGCACCAGACGCAAAAAAAGCTTCGAGTGAACGCGTTTTCGGTGAAAGATAAAAAGATTCTCCATTTCAATGAAGAGTGAATTGCACAGCTTTTTGAGGATCGCCGATGCAGCACGACCGACACTGCCGCTTTTCTCGCCTCTCGGTTGACCACAGAATAAAAAGTCTTCAAAGATTTTATGTTCGGGCACAATTAGTAGCAGACGAGCTTGATTAACTCAGAGTAAACAAAACTCTTACTTTTTCCATTTCAGTCTTGAAGCGGAGGCCGCGTCGCGATGCAATTCGTCGGCAAATTAAAAATGTAGCCCACGTTTGGATCTGGTTTTTCTCATTTGGCGCTCCTGACGATAATTTTATTGCGCTCCAGCACAACCACACACGTGCTCTCAAGTCTATTAGGAGGCAGCGAACGAGCGTTTTAATTCTATAAACGTGTAATTTCACAGTGAATTTACAAGAGAAGGAGAAAAACGATTGCGCCTGTTTTGACGAGTAGTTAAATAGGCCAGTGTCAATCCACGGACACGTTACACTGATAAGAATAACAAAAAAAAGATAATCTCCCGCCAGCATTTCAGGGCTAAAACAAAAGAAAATAAGTTTTGAAAGAAAAATATCGAGTTTTCAATGTCTCCAATAATTTACTCTTTTTTGCTCATAATCTTCAAGAGCCGACTGTGAACTTGACAGGAAGACGGAGCCGTTATTAATTTTTGTATTTACTCGTGAAAGACAAAGCATGGAGAATCACTGTGAGAAAGTAGGAAATGCGAGAAGGCGAATAAATATTTTCCTCTCCAGACCAGAACACCAATTCTTTATTTATTCTTTGAACGTTTTGATACGCCAGGAAGAGTATAAAATTTTATGATTTTCACACCGACTGCGAGCTGCAAATCACAAAAGGATTATATGAAAAATCCGCAGCCGTTATGCTCGTTGGAGAAAAATGGTTTCGCGTTACACAAACCCAAACCACTGCGGAAAATAATCCTCGGAAAACTGTAAGCATGAAATTAATATATATGAAACGGGGATTGAATATAATTGCAAGAAAAAAAAATAAAACTTAAATCAAAAGCTTTTACTTTTAATTTTTCATGTGAAATCTTCGTGACGTGTTTTGATCCCAATACCTGACAAATTATCAGCTACATAGACTTTTCATTTATGAGCTTGCAAAAGAGCTACAAAAAAAGTGGAACGATCATTGGCGGTAACGTTTGTTTTATTGCCTAGTGCACGTGAGAAACGAGTTGCTGGCATTCTTGGTGCCGTGTTATGAAAATAAGTTGTTGTTTTTACGAGCGAAGGCTAATTTGCGGCTTTTTTCTGTGCAACCGATGCAAAATCACTTGCGACGTGTTGTGAAGAAAGAAAGACGTTTGAGGTTATGCAACCTGCTGGCGATGAATTACTTCTTCTCTTATTATTATTGTGAACGCGCAAAAAGGGCAGCTCGGATCGAGTGAAAGGAAATTAATGCTTTGTAACATAAGAGGCGCCGAATCAGATTGAAAAAGCGTTTCGCCACACTTAAACTTTCTGATCTCCGGCTCGCCTAAACTTATCTAGCGTGCTTTTCCTTGTCGAGCGGCGGTGGCAAAGCACTTAGAAATAATTCAGCGTCACACGTGTGTGTCACATTTTTAATGTCGGCTTATCAAAATGTTGGAATCCGTCAACTGTGAGCAATGTTTACTTCAGTCTTTATGGTGGATTTAAAATTGATGAATCAATTGAAAACCGTCGTCAGTTCTTGTAAATTATCAGTATAGTTGCAATTCTTTAAATTCTTGTGCACATCAAAGCGAATATTGTATTGAAATTGCTTTTGCGAAAGGTGAATGTAGTTTTGTGTTTAGGATTATATACCATTTTTATTTTATTGAATTCTTGAATACTCGTGGCAGGAATTTATGATTTTTTATCGTATTTTCTTATGAATACGAAACCCGCCTTTTGTTTCGATGGATTTGAGGAAAAAAGTTTATAAACGTGGAGGAAAAACAGGTGCTTAATAAATCTTCACACGAATCTCACGTTTTCCCATTTCATACCGTGCACTTATCCACGCTCTCGAATAAAAGCTTATTATTTTATTAATTTTAAGGTGCGTGGCGCGCCGTCAGTATAATTTGAACAACACAATAAAAGGCTCGTCCTGAATGGTTGGATGCGTGAGCCGAAAACGCACGAAAAAATCTCCGTGTTGCATAGTTTTGAAGGGCACGCAGGAAGCACACCTCACAGATCGCGCGGCACCCAAACGACTGAGCCTGTATTAAAATATTAATGATAACCCATCACTCGCAGACAGCTGCACCAAGTGCACATCCGCGGGTGTGAACGCCCGCGAAAATGGCCACCGCAAAAAAAAAATTAATGTAAAACAAACAAAAGAGTGAAAGATTCGCTCCGAGAGAGGCAAAAATGACCCTGGGATCTTAAAATTAAGCATACATGGACGAAGGGAATTTCTTAGCATTAGTGAAGGCTGTAATTATTTTGAAATGTGTTAAATTAACATGAGCTTGCAAGTTGCCGTTATGCGATTTTCCATTTATATTTTAATACAATAGAAAATTTTAAAATAAACGCAGGCTTAAATAATTAGCAGATTAATTAAAGTTTAAAAAAAATGCTAAATTTATTTAAAATTTGCTTTGAATGATTGTGCTTTTGAAAATTGCAATTCATTTTCCTCAAAAGTAACCTCCAATAAATACTATTATTATCCAGCAACCATTCAAAAGCGAAAAACCAAAACCGATTCATCTTTTTTGGCTTGTTGTCTGACAAAACATCAAGTTGAAAGTCTGCGGTTTGCCTGCGATTTTTTATTTTATTTTATCTCTCTTGCAAAATATAAAACCGCAGCCCTAATCAAAATGCATGAAAAAAATTGCTTCGCCGTCGAGATGAAAAAACACGACGGGCAGCCGGAGAAGAGAATAAAAGAAAACCTTAGAGCCAGTGTGGGCTGGACCAGTTCAAAAATATGTGTAGCGTAATTACATCATGCGCGGCAGGCAAGGCACCCAACCAGTTTCAGCAACAATCTCGTTCACTCTGCTCGCCTGCGTTTTATTCTCATTTTTTTAACTATCACGCACCGCGACGCTCGCTTTATGTAATATCGAAGCAGGGCTGTGTACACGGACAAACATATCATACGCCCTGTCCGCTTGAGCAACAGCAATTTTCATTCACTCCTGAAAGGGTTCCCACGAGTTGTCATCAATTGGCTCCTTTGCTCTATTATTGCCCTTCCTAAATGTACATTATAATAATTCTGTTTAAAGTCCTAAAACTTTTATTTTAATTTATATAGAATTTTAATGCTGATGGCTTATTTAAATTATAAACATTTAACTTTCATATAGCTTTATTTAAATTTGTTAATTTTTATTTATTTTACGTTTTAGTAAAATGGGTATCACTTATAATCTCTGAAAAAGAGTTACAATTTGAAATTTTTTAGTTTTTTTACAAAATAATTTTTTACATATACTGAGTAGTTAATTTCTAGATATTACTTGAAGATTTGGAATACCAAAATATGATGCTGTATACCGAGATGATATTTTACTGTACTATTATTATTTGGAGGATAAAAAATGAAATTCATATCCAAAAATTTAGATAATCCTTTTACTTAGAAGAATTCAATATCGCTGTAAGATTTTCTAGGTTCAATTCTGAAAAGTGCAATAGAAAAACTCTGCTTATGAAAATTTTTTCTGCCACAGCTGTCAAAAATTACGGGAAAAAATTGTTCAATCATTTAAAGACTTCCTGCAAAAATAAAAAAAGTTAAAACAATTTTCTGTCATAGACACTAAAAATTAAATAATCCTATTTTGTAATAGAAAATTGTTTTAGTGAAAAAAAATTACAGATAACAATTTATATCCCTGGGCATATCATTGCAAGAATCATTGCACCCGTTTTTGGGTCAGCGCTGCGAAAGAAAAAAGGTCTGAACTTTTATAAGAGTCGCTCTCGGAACAAAACCCAAGGAGAGGAGCCTCGAAGGAGAGTACAAACGCGCGCAAAGAGATTTAGTGGCTGGCGGTGCTGTTTTCACCGTTATGATTCCCTGAATGCATTATCGCTGCGTGTTGAGCCGTGAGTGGAGCACAATTCAGCACACATCGAGCAAGTGTGCATCTCCAGCACAAAGCCCGAGAGGGATAATTGGTCAAGGTCACCGCTAATTATATGGGATTCTCTCGCGCTCGGACCATTGTCGATTATCACTCAGCTTTGTAACTGCACAAATTTACATGTACCGCGGTTAGATTGTTCTTCAAGAAATGCGGGAAATGGCGGCAGCGGAATAGGCAAATCAACTTTCTGTTTTCAATTACATACCATTATTATTTTAATTTGAAAGCAAACCTGCATGCATGTAGACGATGACACGGTTTGGTATGGAAGTTTGATAAAAATTATTAGTGGAGCAGAGATTATGTACAAGTTTAGAAATCTACTTGATCGAATGATCGCTCTAATAGAAGTAAGTGGGACAAAATCAAATTATTTTCTATTACTTTATAACGAATCTCGCGTTCAATAAGCTGAAGTAGACTAATTACATTTTTTTGTTTCATAAAATCTTATTTCTATGTAGAAAGTCACTATTCTCAATTAATTATTTCATCAAAATAAGTAGCGCAATCAATAAAAAATGTCATGTTTCTCTGTGATTGATGTCTATTTATTATTTATTTTAAATATCAACTCATTTTCCATACATAAAATGCCTTTAAAAAAATAA